GGATCCGAGTACGAAATGAACGATGTTCGTTTCAGGGACGACAGAAAACGTTTACGACGACCCCTTAGATAAGTGCAGTGCTTACTTTGCTGGCTAATTCTTCGATCCTTCATAGCTTTGAGGGAGTTGGAAACGTGAAAACGTCATTGATTCAAAAGGTCAGTCACTTCTGTGGTTGCGGTTGCATTGCTCCTTCTGGTTGCTTGTCTTCTCTAGGCTGGCAAGGTGATGCCAAATCCACAGTGCATCGAAAAGAGTTGAATATGGTCATCCGCCAGCAGAGCTGCACCTCGATAGGCACCGTCACACCGACTGGAGAGCTGCAGATTACGACATCCATGCTGGAGGAGAAGCTAGCCTCACTGACAGTTTCTCGTGAAAAGGTAAAGAAAGAAAAGAAAGAAGGATGACCTTCTTGGAGACTGGTAGCTTATCAGGGACAGAAAACACTACAAATCTCAAGCTATTCATCATCATCATCAATAAGGACTCCGAAAATCATGCATCAGTTTTCCGGCATTCTCTTCGAATGAAATACAATCAACCAGAACCAATCATAAAGGGGAAGTATGCCCTAAATCAAATTTTCACCAGTTGTAGTCTTCTGGGTGCCGAGTCGAATGGTCTTGGTCCGAGGAAGCTGAGAAGCTCCCTTCCTCCTTTATTCCCAATTGAACTTGCTACTTCCACCGAAACTGGGTGACTGCGCCCTACTAGATGGGGATTTGTATGCAAAATGTCACTAACAGCGCCATTTCGTTCATATAAAAGCACAGATGACCGCGATTGGCCTATATGTTGTAGTCTTTTAGATTCTGAGTCGACTGGTTCGGCCCTTATTCCCAGCCGAACACAGTTGAATAAGTGGTCACGTGCTCATGCGTACACCAGTCACCTGGTCACCGTGCCCGCAGGCTACAGCCTGTTTGGGCGCGTTTCTGTCACTCGAGTTGAACCTTTGAACCTTTGAGCTGAACCTTGGTTTGAAAGTTGTAGCCCGCAGGCACGGTGACCAGGCGACTGGTGTACGCACGAGCATGTGTCTGCTTACTCAACCATCTGCTTCCCCGGTGGCCTCATCATCTAAAGGGAACTGCGATCAGTTGTCTGTGAGTAGTTTTCGCGCCGGTGAAGACTTTAGGCCGCGGTCACACCAAGTGCGATTCAGCCATTCAGCGGAAAAAAGCGCTTTTTGACGTCACCGTTGCTACAGAAACAGGTGAATTTTCGCCTTCAGCCGTTTTCAGCAGTCAGCTGCTTTCAAAGCGCTGAATGGAGCGCTGAATGGTTTCAGCCACTTTCAGCCATTCTGGCACAGTAGTGGCGGGAAAAACAAACTCCTGCAAATCCAAAGCGCACCTTGCCATCAATGCATCGCCTTCTGAAATATTCCGGGTTTCGTTGTTTGTTTCTTTATTGATCCAACTTCTCTCATTGCCTGCTGTCTGCTATTGTCCTCATCTTTCCTTGTGCGCTTTCTGCGAGATACGATCTGGCAGCTTCAGGCAAGGTAGACAATTGTGCGATAGAAGCATGTGCACCATGATATCGGTGCAGAGCAAGATGCAGACAAACGGCACAGAGTCTAGTTTTAGGGTCCATGGCTGCACTACAAGCTCAAACCTCCCTCAATCTTTCAAACCAGCACCATGGTTTCAATGTGGAAGCGCCCAGTACAGTACCAAAACTCTGCTACATGTTAAACAGAAAATCAAATAATTTAAAATCGAAAAAATCAAATTCAAAAATGAACTCAAAGAAAAAACCTCTACAGCACGCAAAACAATTCAGCGGATCTCATGGGTCGATGTGACCAACCACTTCATTCAGCACAAGCCACTTTCAGCACAAGCTGGAAATGGCTTGTTTGGTGTGACCGCGGCGTAAGCATCACACCAGACAGTCCAACTGGCAGGTCAGTTAGAAGGTGGTGTGAAATTTGGTTTGTGCATGTGTGTGCATGTGTGTGGGGTGTGGGGGGGGGGGGGGGGGCAGTATATCGGATCCACAAAACAAAAGCAGGCAGAAACTCGAACTGAAATTGCTCTTGTGTCGTGATGCTTGCTATTAGGGAGATAAAGATTCATGCCACACATGTCGGGCGGGCGTGTGTAGAGAGGGAGTGATCCCAGCAAGGTCCAGACACACAAATCGTAGCACCTGAAACCACACACGTGCGAGGCCTCACTTGTGCAGGGTCATGCCTGTGTAGTTTGTTTCGTTTTGCACCTTCTCTGCGTTTTTGTCATTATCCGATGTATTTATATGTGTTGGTTTGTGAAGGTTTGCTCGCACACGCACACGCATCCAAGGTCTTTGTATCTCATTGCCGAATATGCGACCTGTGTAATTTCTTGACCTGGTCGCCTGGATCGCGTTTGCGTTCAGGTCAAGTGCATCCAATCTCTATCCTATGTATGTGTGTGTGTATGTGTGTGTGTGTGTGCGAGCGCGCGCATACGCGTGTGTGTGTGTGCTTGTGTGTGTGTGTGTGTGTGTGTGTGTGTGTGTGTGTGTGTGTGTGTGTGTGTGTGTGTGTGTGTGTACATGGTGTGCGTGTGTGTGTGTGTACATGGTGTGCGTGTGTGTGTGTGTGTGTGTGTGTGTGTGTGTGTGTGTGTGTGTGTGTGTGTGTGTGTGGTGTTGTTCATGTTCAAGGGAGCCACTGTAACGCATCAGGCTTGTGAATGGGTGGAAGACTCGGCACAAGTTATCACGGAGATGGAGGCAAACACCATCGCGAGACATACAATACCAGCGGTGCTGACTGCTAGGGATGACGACTCGAGCAGACCTGAGCATCACGAAGACATGTCTCATGTTCCTACCGGGTATATGCCCGGCTGTGGCATGACTGAAAGTGGTGGCGTAGGAGAGCAAGATGCCTCACTCAAGCCACCTAAAGGGGATGGAGTAACAGCAGAGGAGATTGACAACCAGCGGGCTATATCTAGTGCCATTCAACCAGGCTGGTGCTCGCCAAGCCCCTCAGAGCCCTTGCCTCATGCCAACAAGTCTGCAGAGTTGTAGCAAGTTATCAAGCAGCTCTCAGCAGGTGAGGACCGGAGGGTGTGGGCCATTCTGCATGTATAGCTTTATATCTATAAGTAAGCATAATGCACAACAACACAGTTATGAGAGGGTTGAGTTGAAGAGGAAGGATGCCAGGACTGACATCGGCACAACCACACGTCAAAATACTCTACCAGAATGAGAGCAGGATTCATCATAGCATATTCTGTGTGTATGTTAGTGTGGGTTTGTGTGTTTGTGTGGGAATGTGTGTGCTTCTGTGCGTGTGTGTGTGTATGTGTGCGTGCGCGTGTGTGTGTGTGTGTATGTGTGTGTGTGTGTGTCTGTGTATGCAAGTGCGTGTGCAAGCATGGTTGTTCAGTCTTGTCCTGCACTGCCATGAAATTGAAATGTTTGTCTTCTGTACTCTATGCAGAGATGAACTTCCTGGTGATTATTTTCTTGCGCCATGGCTTCTCAGTTCCAGTGAAGTGAGCATCCTGTCCTCATATGTACAAGTGCTGCACACTAGCTGCACATATCATGCAGGGTTAGTCCCAAATTCCCAACTGAGACTACGATGTACATGTCTGCTGCATACGTAAATCTTGAATTTGATTTTCAGTCGTGAATTCCCTTTTGGTTTTCGTAAAATGTGACCCAAGTATGCTATTTTCTTTACTGCAAAGCAATCCGGTGGAAATGTTACACACCCTAATAGTATGTCCTTTTTCAGTGTATTATCGCATTATTGTCTCAGAGAAAACTGTTACCCTACTATTCTGTTAAATTTGATGTAAAGATTAATAGCGTCGGTTACAAAAGAACTAATCAGCTGGGGTTGTTTTTTGGTATGACCTGCTCTAAATATGCACAGTTACCTTGGTAGTAGTTGCTCTAAATATGCACTAACAGTTACCTTGGTAGTAATTGGAGATCATCAGCTACATTGTATAATGACATCGTAAACTATACTGTATTTTGTGGTATGGCCATCCACTTCAAAACAGCAGTATTCTGGCCGTAATTCAGATCAAAATGAATGTATTTCCCTCTTCTGCAGTTCTTTCAAGATTTTATTATAAATAAATTTATAATTGAATGAGGTTATCGTACATTTTGAGACTACCAACTCCCCACCACTGCATACCCTCTCCAGCTGACCTCATTCACTACACCCATAAATGGCTGTTTATATTCATGATTCACAGGAAGCACAAATCTGCTCATTCTGATTGTGAAGGCAGTCCGTCTATTGTCATCACAATCCAGTTTACACGATCCTGATGATGATAATTTTGCCGAATTATTTTTTAAAAGGACGATGTTGGGGTGACGACTGCACCTTAGCTTGATGGTAGAGCATCGCTTGCCCTATTAAAGCGAAGTTCTCGTCCTGGTGGTTTCAGTCATGTTTCCTTTGTTTCATACTTTTCCTGTTTCAACTCCATCAAACCTTTGAACATTGTGAAACACTCGACAGCTTGTGTTTAGCCCGGTAGTGTGCTTGTAAAGAGCTGCACTTTCACTTTGGCAAGTAGGACAGTCAGTCAGTGTTCATGTAGATGTACGTTGTCTACACATGCAGACTTGCAGTGCACATGCGTATATCTGCAAATCTTCATGTGATCAGTGGCTATCGAAATTCTGGTGACTTAGGGTGCGTTTGAATCGTCTTGATCAACTTTTCGAACAAATTCTTAAAAGAGATAAGTTGAAGTGTCCAAACTGAACGGTTTCTATCTTTTCAGTGGAATTGTCATGGCAATAATGACGTCCGTTCCGATCAACCATATCGACGTAGCTATTCCAAACTCTTCTGAACTAATCCGCCTCTCCCATCGGATGAGGTGAAATTTCGAGGAGACTTTCGTTTTCTGAAGAGGCCAATAAGCCACCTCTTCAGGAAAAAAACGAAACTCCTCGAAAAGTCAAAGGGTGACAATTCGAACGCGCCCATAGTAGCATTATCTCAAATTTTACTATAATAATCTCTCTTAATTTCATAGGTCTTGTCTTTGTCTCCAGGGAGTTGTACGACTCCTTGTTCTTGACCTGCCCGGTACGCGAACCCGTGGAATTTTTGTTTTTTGTTTTTTGTCCCTTCAATGGTAATAATGATGAGCTATTTTCTTTGGACTGTGCAAGAGAGGGATTGCCCATTCAGCCAGCACTTGGGATTGATCAGTGTCCCTTCATAAGAAGTCTGAACCATTATCTGGAGCACACATTGATAACATAATATTCGAATTAATTTAAAATCCTCACAAGAGAGAGAGGGGGGGGGGGGGGGGAGAGCTGTGTTGCAACTCCGAGGTTCACATACCGGTACTAGCACTCACGATCATCATCAGGTAACAATAACATCCTCATCCATAACATCCTCATCCCCTTCAAGGGCCAGTCACATGTTCATGTAGTTGCGCGTGGGGGTCTCCCCTGCATTTTGCCCTTTGCCACTTTGCCACGGCAGGGGAAGTACCTTTCATTCATTGTCAGTCTTTGTTCTTGCCGATCTTGTTGGGCCAACAATAGATCCTAGCTTGTACTAAGTATTACTATTAGTTGTGGGGTCTGACTGGCACAACAAACACTTGAAACAGTCATCAACGCTATCACTGCATTATGGCAATTAATTATTTATGCTAGAGCAGTAGCCCCTTCGGATTAGGTTATACGGCAGCTTTATTCTCCCAATACTTCTTTATAACTGCGGCACATGGAGCCTGACAGAGACTCAAGAAAAGAAACTTGACTCGTTCCACCGCCAGCAGTTACGAGCAGTCATAGGGGTCAAATATCCCCGTATAATACGCAATGAAGCACTGTACAAGCGCACTGGCTCCAAGCCACTCAGCAGAATCATCCAGTCTGCTAGGTGGAGAATGTTTGGCCACATGCTTCGACTAGACACCTCATCCCCGGTCCAGCAGGCTATGTCAGCATACTTTCAGCCAGGAAGCTCAGGGTTCCGAGGCCGCCCGAGAACAACACTCCCGCGATCCATCAACAACGACCTGAAAAATTCCAGATCCACAAACTCCCTCACATCACCCGAGGATCTAGTTGCACTGAGGCAGCTCGCCCAGGATCGTCGAAAGTGGAAGGAACTAATGTGTGCTGTGTGTAATGGCTGAAGTTATACAATTACACTAGATACCCTTAACAATAATAACGGATACAATTACACTAGATACCCTTAACAATAATAACGGATACAATTACACTAGATACTCTAGATACTCGGTACTCTAGATACTAGATACTCTAACAATTTTATCAAACATTATGATAATTACCACATCAAATGCTGCGGAGACCTATCCAGAATCGGCAATATGCTGGCCCTGGCCTGGAGATCTGCAACTATAATCAGCTTCTACTTTGCAACACTAACGGATTAGTCCCCTTTGTCGATTGATGGATCAATCGGTAGATTCGGCTCTGTTTTTCTTTCCTTTCTTTCTTGTTTTGAATTGTACGTTGAACTCATTGGATTTCTTTGTATTCTGTATCTCGTTATCGTTATATTTCCCTCTAGCCCTCTCGCTTAGGATGAGCTTTCTTTTTTATGGCAGCTTAAGGGCTATATACCTGCTTTATGCAGGTTGATGCCAACGCGAACAAGCAAAATAATAATAATAAGAGCAGTAGTGCATATACATGTAGTGGTGACGTGAAAGGTCACTGGTGTCACCTGTACTGTCTGTACTGATATCCACTGCGGCACTGGTTTGATGGAAAGATTGAAACGGGAAAAGTCTGAAGAAAGATCGCCACCATGTAGATTCTACCGCCGGGGCTGATATCGTTTCACGTTTGTACGTGCGCTACTATAACTACCTAGTATCTATAATCACTGAGTACGAGTCTGTTCTTTCGCACTAGCTCATGATCAGATCATTCACTCAGCCGCGTACTGTGTGCATGTGAGCCTGTGTGTTTCATCCGTATCGTGGCACAATTAGCAGCACTTTTCAATGCGTCCCTGACCTCCGGCACTGTACCCGCTGGCTTTAAGCGTGCGTATGTGACCCCATTGCACAAGGTTGGCGATCCATCTGTCGCCAACAATTTCCGTCCTGTGTCCCTGCTCCCAATTCTCTCGAAGCTGCTAGAGAAGGTGGTGCAGAAGGCACTTGTCACCTTTCTGGATATGGCTGGTTCTCTGCCCAGCACACAGTTTGCATTCCGGACAGGACATTCCACGGAGGATGCCCTTGTGCTGATGGTAAACAGGATCCTCGCCTCAAGAGACCGCCGCATGTTCACGGGTGTGGTCCTCCTGGATATGTCGAAGGCGTTCGACAAGGTTCGCCACCAGCAACTAGTCGAAGATCTCTTCTGTGTGGGCGTCACTGGAACAGCGCTCCAGTGGCTCATGTCATACCTGTCTGATCGCTGCCAGATTGTCCAGCTGGGATCCCAGCTTAGCACAGTGGCAGCCTGCTCCTGTGGAGTACCACAGGGGTCGGTATTAGGTCCACTGCTGTTCAGCCTTTACACCCGGGACATACCATCTGTTGCCCAGCAAGCTGAGTCCATCCAGTTCGCAGATGACATCGCACTGACCTGCAGTCGCCCAACACAACAGGAACTGACCGCCACTCTCTCCAGAGCAGTGACATGCATTGCTGACTGGCTGAAGCAGCGAGGTTTGATCCTTAATGCATCAAAAAGTCAGGCATTGGTAGTACCGGCTGGGAAGCTAGAAGCGCAACCTGAACTGGACGTATGGTGTCATGCGACTAAGCTGCCATCTGTCTCTTCTGCTCGCTACCTCGGAGTTCACATTGACAGCGCCATGTCTTGGAACACCCAGATGGATAGGTGCGTTGCCCGCCTCACCAAGAAAGTCGGTGTGCTGTGGCGGATGCGCCGCTGCCTCAGCATGCAAAGCCGCATCCAGTACTTCAAGTCGGTGATCATGCCTGATTTCTCATATGGCTCCAATGCCTTCTCAGCATCGCTGGCGGGTAAGCACCTGGACCGTCTCCAAGTTCTGCAGAATCGTGCGGCTCGAGCTGTGTACGGATGCTCGCCGCGCACCTCTGCCAGAAACCTGCTAGTCCAACTCGGCGCCTACCGTGTCCGGGAGATCTTCATCCAGAAGCTCATCTTCCTGGTTTGGCGCTGCCGCTACTCCCGTGCTAGCCCCACACTGCAAGTGCTGTTGCTACCAACCAGTGGCGCTCCTACTCGGCTGCAATCATCGATGGGTCTAAGACCATCGCCAACCCGCACTGAGCTGGGTAAGGGTTGTCTCGCGTTCCAAGGAGCTAGGCTCTGGAATGCGTTGCCCAGCGAGGTACGGGCCATACCGCACCCGGCCCAATTTCGCACTGCTGCTGTTCCACACAGCATGAACCCTTGAGGTCAGACGGATCACTATCGCCATATTTTCATTATATGCCTGCCTGTTGGCCTGCCTGCCCGTCTCTCTCCCTGCTCTCTGACAACTTGCTTGTTAATTCGTGCGGTTGTTTTCAGACGTAAAGCCCTGCTGTAGAGGTCTCAGCCCTCATTTGTTAGTCTCTCTCTCTGTCTCTCTCTCGCTCTCGGATCTCTCTCTCTCTCTCTCTCTCTCTCTCTCTCTCTCTCTCTCTCTCTCTCTCTCTCTCTCTCTCTCTCTCCCTCTCTCTCTCTCTCTCTGTTTTTGGTGGACAAAAATATCTCTGGCGTTGATTGCTTTCTTGCTTCGACTTCTGCCGCGCCTTTGTTCTCGTACTCCCCTTTATGTACAAGTGCTGTGCGGACCCTCCCTTAATATAGTCTGTCTCATTTTGTCCTGAGATGTTTTGATGCATAGTGATTATGACGCTCATCATTCGCTCCCTTGTCACTGGACAGTTCTGTCCGTTTGGTTTTAGCGAATTCAAATAAAGAAAACAACAACAACAACAACAATTACACAGACACGATTTCCAACTCAGGCCGGTTCCGTTGCTCGAAGGGTTGGCGGTAAGAATTGCTACGCCGTCTGTGGCTGCATGGGAACTTGGCGAGTCGTCGTCTTTCTCCATAAATCCTGATCGTCACGCGAACAACAGCCACTATTGCCTAAAAACTACGACACAACAGTATCAAGCTCGCCCCAGCAGAAGGACACGAATGACGAGCGCTAAGAGTGCCGTAGGCACTTCAGCCGGTTTTTTCAAGTCGGGTTTCTCCCAAGTTTAGCATCGTAAATCGACAGTGGTGGGTATCACGAGGTCACACACAAAATTTCATTGAAATCCACAAAGACACAAGTGAGATATGAAGGGTTGAAGAGAGGCAATTGCATGAGGCGAAAGCAATACAATTTGTGGTATCAACAGCATCCCCAAAGTGTTATCAGTGGATATAGTTACAAAACATCAGAGTGGCATTTTCAAACACACGGCTCTCACAAACACCAACAACCGTTTATGGATCAACAAAATACTTATCAAAGTTCACAATAGTCCAGAATACGGCAATTGTTACCACAATCACCATAGCAACCCCATAGCAACCCATAGTAACCCATGGCAACCCCATAGTAACAGCTTCGGTTTGCTGTGAAATAAGCTAGTATCGACATTAGAGTTCACCAGCAGGCAACTGCCGCTGCTAAATGCTATAAAAGACATTCTTCTGGCACTCAGAAGGTAAGCACACAGAGATAGCATCCGCTAAATGAATTGAAAGCGGAATTTCTGCATACACAACGCACGTGCACACGTTAACGCCACTTCAAACAGAGGTTCGATGTTGGAAACCAGTTTCTCTATTGGCAGCTCCTTTGTACCAGTAGAAAGTGCAAACTAAATTACTTCGGACCTTCTGCAGCAGAACAAACTTGCAGAAGTGAAACTGCGAATTGAGAGCAAGGCGTTCGCCAGTGACACAGAACATTTTTGAGAGCTGCTCCTGTGCTGCCTCCTTCGAGATCCAGAGTCCACCAACAGCCGTGATCTTCGTCAAAGTCTCCATTTCCTTTTGATGTTGTTCTCTCTTGCGTGTGCTACCTGATCCTTCTCCTTCACTTGCTCCATACAGCAGTCATGAATTGTCTGCTGGCAAGCCTCGAAATTCGAACAGAATTTTGGTGCAGCGCGCCTGGATGCGTCGATCAAAGTGTCCCTCTCATCGGAGGATTTCTCCTGTAGCCACTGTGCCGTTTGATTGTCCGTAAACATCAGTAGCCGTTCAAGCACAACAGGGCCAAACATTGGCTTTCAGCACGCTTTGAAACTGGCTCAGGTAGGACGACGACGCATCTTTCTCCTCCGCCTCAAGCCCTTCTCCTCACTATCTACGTCCATATTTCCTCCTTGCGCAGCTATGCGCAAACCCTGGTGAACAAGAACTCAACTGTTTCTGAATGGAAACACGACGCTGAGCCTGAAGACGATAGGCAACGTTTCCAACGCGTACTAACAACATTTCCTTGTGAAAAACTCTTTGCTGGAAGTGTACATGACCTGCAAGTCGTAAAAATGTACGCACTATGACGTATGTAGGCTCTACTGAAAGCTGAACGTCAGAGCAGCACGATGCACTGAACTACATGCCCGTACAACGAAGCATGGTGCGTACCTGTACAGTTTTGCGCATGCACTTGGCTGATACCACGCAAGTATGCACTCAGACCTCAGCAAAATAATAATTTGACAGGTCTTGTCACGTGACTGAAGTGCCTATGACAGATAAGGGGTCGTCCGTATTTTTCGAAAAATTAAAAAATCCGTCCTCAGGCAGAAAGGGGGTGGGTGGTCAAGAGCGCTGGCGGAATTTATTTTTTGATTTTCGTACCTTTTTTTCTTCTTTTTTTTCTTCAGTGACTTTCATACACTTGTTGCACTGACATGTAGCGCATGCACTGTAGACGTAGTGTAGGATTATTATTATTATTATTTTTTTCTTATTTTGTTAGGGATTTCCCAACAGGCAATGTTGCCTTTTTACTGGGAACCCTAAATGAGAGGATCGCAAACACCAGTATGATAATTATACCAGTACATGACTCTTCATGTAGTTGTAGGATGTGCATGGCCGTCGGTAGACCTCCTACTCACTTTACTTAGCTACTAGTACTTGTCATACATGTACATGGAGGTGCAATCAGTGAACATGGGGTCAGGAGTTCTTATTTTCGAGCTGGGCATCGGTAAAAATCAAAAAATTAATGGGAAAAATGGGGGGTGGGTGGGTGGGTCAGAGACAATTTTGCACGAGGACGGATTTTTTAATTTTTCGGTAATTACGGACGACCCCTAATGCGGATTTGTGATGGTAGATCTACAGTTCATCCAGAATGATTGTACACGCTTGAATGCACGCGCACGCGCGCACAGATACCGGTACGTACGTGTACATAATTATTAGTAACTTTTTTTTGTAGTTTAGTTCATTTCGTGTGTTTTGCACTGTTTCCCTACAAATTGGTTACGACGTTAGTGTTACTGTCTTTGGCGCCGTTTTTAGTTAGGAACGATAATCTACGGTGATGGTTGTAGTGTATGTGTAGTTGCATGACATCATTATTGTGTGTACACCAGTCCGCATGCGCGGTCTCTGAATCTGCATAACTATTACTTCTAGTGGAGCGGTGTTCTTTTCCCGCGCCTTGCTTGCTTTCGGACTGTTCTTCCAGATGTACTTGTAATGGTAGTTTTCTCCGACCCTGTGATTGTGCTTTGCTGAACCCGATATAACAAGTGGCGACGAAGATCGGATCATGGCGCTGCTCGGAAACCTGGGCCCCTTCACATCTACGGATGCTGATGACTGGGAGTCTTATCTGGCCAGGCTGGATCAATTCTACAAAGCGAATAAAATTGAGGACGGGCGGAAGAAATCTGTATTCTTGACAGTTGTAGGAGAAAGTGTTTTCAGGTTGCTAGTGACGCTGATCGCACCAGCAACACTGGATGACAAGTCCCTCTCAGAGCTGCGACAGACTCTGACTGCACACTTCTCCCCTAAGCGTCTGACAATTGCGGAACGCTACAAATTTTGGAGCCGCAGCCAGCAGGCAAGTGAGAGTTATCATGACTATGCCGCTGAGCTACGACGTTTGGCAAAGACCTGTGACTTCGGCAATGGTCTGGAAGATGCCATCCGCGACAGGTTCGTCTGTGGCATACGAGACGCTGTCGTTTGTAAAAAATTGCTGACCATCGATGCCCTCACTTTGGAGACTGCTCTGAAAACGGCTGCAGCTCAGGAGGTGGTCGATCGCGAGGCTGCGCGCTTGATGGCCGCGGGTAGATCTACCTCCGAGTCCAGCGATGTCCATGCCGTTTGGCACAAGAGACAGCCACCTGCACCTAGATAGCGAGGCAAGTCCGGAGCCAGCGCTAGCAGCACTACTGACGGGGCTGCGCCTTGTTATCGCTGTGGCAATAAGGACCATGCTCCTTCACAGTGTCGCTTCAAGGCTTCCGAGTGCCACTACTGCCACAAGCGTGGGCACCTCGAGAAGGTGTGTCGTACGAAAAAGGGCGACCAACACCAAACCAATTTTGTATGTGAGGAGCATGAAGTTGGTGATGTGTACTCCGTAGAGTCCCGTCCCAAGCTAACTGTGAATGTGATGTTAGACGGGGTAGAAACGACAATGGTGCTCGACACCGGAGCTGCAGTGAGCCTTATGTCACGTGAGACGTGGGACCGTACCAGTGACAAACAACTCGAACCGGCTAACATCAAGCTGCGCTCGTACACAGGTGATGAAATCAATGTGTTGGGTCAAGCCACAGTGGAGGTATGCTATGATGGCCGTACAACGCCATTGCCACTGCTCATTGTTGAAGGCGAGGGTGCTACACTGCTCGGAAGGAATTGGTTGCCGCACGTCCGACTCGACTGGTCATCCGTGTTTGGGGTTGACGAACCTACGGATGGACCCGATTTGGAGCGGATAGTTGCTGACAATGCGACCTTGTTTGACGGCCACGTTGGTGAGCTGCGAACAGGCGCATCTACCTTGCATCTGAAAGAGGACGCACGGCCGGTATTCAGGCGTCCCTATTCAGTGCCGTACGCTGTCAAGCCCTTGGTTGAGGAGCAGCTCAGGAAGATGGAGCAGCAGCACATTATAGAGCCTGTCAAGCACAGCGAGTGGGCAACACCAGTAGTGGCTGTTCCAAAGCCTGATGGCTCAGTTCGTCTCTGCGGTGACTACAAGGTCACTGTGAATCCCCAACTACGAGTGGACCAGCACCCACTGCCGACAGCGCAGGACATCTTCAGCTCCCTGAATGGCTGCAAATATTTTGCGAAGCTGGATTTGTCGCAGGCGTATCTGCAAGTGCCGTTGGATGAGGCGTCCCAGAAGATGACTACCATCAACACGCACAAGGGCCTGTACCAGTTCAATCGTCTGCCCTATGGTGTTGCATCGGCTCCAGCGGTGTTCCAAGGAATCATGGACAAGCTCCTGGTTGGCTTGGAAGGCGTGTCCAAGTACCTGGACGACATCCTGATCGCTGCACCCACTCGCAGACTACTGCTGGAACGTCTGAACACGGTGTTGTCGATTCTGTTGCAAGCTGGTCTGAAGCTAAAGAAATCGAAATGCATGTTCTTCTCCGACTCAGTCCAGTACCTCGGCTTCAAAATTGACGCGTCGGGTCTACACGCCACCGATGAGAAAGTGCGAGCGGTTCAGAACGCACGTGCACCGACGAATGTCACGGACCTCAAGTCATTCTTGGGTCTGGTGAATTGTTATGGCCAGTTCATTGAGAACCTGGCTTCGCTCGCACAGCCTCTCTACGATCTCCAGAAGCGTAACACCGTCTGGAAATGGCAAGCGCCACAGCAGCAAGCCTTCAGAGCTTTGAAGTCAGCTCTGAGTGCACCACCAGTTCTAGTTCATTATAGCCCTTCGCTACCGCTACGTCTGACCTGCGATGCATCAGGCACAGGAATTGGCGCTGTCTTGTCCCATGTGATGCCGGAAGGGCAGGAGCAACCAATCGCATACGCCAGCCGCTCTTTGACAACCAGCGAGCGCAATAGACCCTTTGCACAATAACGGTCACGTGATCCGAGACGGGGCATCCTCTTCGATTTTTGTGCAGAGTATCAGTTGTTGAGCATGGTGGAACACTGTATTTTTCCATTTTGGAGATGGAGGAGAGAGTGTCGAGTGGTTTGCCATCGATGGCTGTGGAACCCGTGGACGAACTGTCAAGTGAAGATCGGTTGTGTAAGGAACTGAACAGTTTTCTGCTGAATGAGGGTGCGTATCTATCTGGAAAATGAAGGAGTTGTTGGAGCGGTAAGTTTTCCGCATTCAGTGGATATTTCGGATTACTGTAGATTGAAATTTATTTTTATTTTCTCTTCCTTCTCTCCTCTGTCGATGTAGAGAACACTTCTCTATGCAGAACCCTGATGCTCCTAGAACTAAGAAGGGCACCACTTCCTCGAGTGTACCTTCATCATGCGTCATGCGTCCCAGTGGATGAGTGATGAACCTCTGTTTCCCAGAGTGAGTGCCACACCATGCTTGCTCGTCTCCAACGCAGGGGCAAGTCGCCGACGACAGTGAAGAGGGAGCTGATGGAGTAGTACTAGTGAACAAGCCCGTGGATAGTGTCCATGAGTTTTACTTTGGTGGCTATGTGCATAATGTGAAAGTCTGTCATATCGTGCACACAGCCACAGCTCGAACTCAGATGACTTTCTCCGCAAACCTGAGCGATGAGGCCGCGTCTCTCTCCACTTCAACAACAGCAGCTGGAGCAGCGCCAGCAAGCAGTCGATCTTCCAATAGCGAAGACAGGGATGGGTCATGCCTTTTTCTCAAGCTCCAGAGTCTCTTGGCAGGGCGTTCCATATCTTCGCAAAAGCAAGGATGAAAGTCGTCATGGACAAAGTGTTCCGAGCACAACACTGTAAACGATATCGCAGCACTGCGGCCCTCTTCTCGCCAGATAGCCAGGATTCCAGAGTGTGGAATGCCAGCATCACCAGGGAACGCATGGAAAGACAAGTGGGTTCCTTAGACTAACGTTAGGGATGACGGTTGCTGCAAACAAGAACCCAACAGTGGTCCTTGGAAAGCATTTCGGGACTTCTTCCTTCAGAACTAGAAAAACTTCGAAATGAAAAAGGCTGGGGAGTACATACATGAACATCGCGTCGGGACCGTGAAAACATAGCCTGTCACAGGAAACTTGATCACGTCCTGCAGCAAACCATGCATGCTGGTTGCATGCCAAGTGTGCAGCGCGTGCACAGCATGCCCCGTCTCGACCCCTCTCGCTTATTGCGCAAAGGGTCTATTATAGCCAACTGGAACGAGAAGCGCTTGCTATCGTGTTCGGTGTCACCAAGTTCCACTTGTACCTCTATGGACGGCACTTCAACCTGGTGACCGACAACCGCCCTCTTGCCGTAATCTTCGGTCCAAAGAGAGGCATCCCCTCAATCGCAGCCATGCGGTTGCAGCGTAGGGCTGTAACACTATCAGCGTATCAATACGATGTGATGGTAAAGACGACTGAAGCCAACGCCAACGCTGATTACCTGTCACGCATGTCGCTTGATTCGCATAGTGTTGATGTGTGTGAGGTGTCTGAGATTCTGACGACTCACCAGGATCAGCTGCCAGTCCTCGCAGCAGACATCAGTGCAGAGACGGCCAAGGACATCGTGCTCAAGCAGGTACTGCAGCATGTCGCCAATGGTTGGCCCGAGACTGTCCCCTCAGAGCTGAAGCCCTTCCACCGCATCGCAGAGGAGCTCACAGTAGTGCAGGGCTGCCTTCAGCGAGGATTTCGCACGGTGGTGCCCAGCACGCTTCAGCCCCGGCTCCTTCAAGAGTTACACATTGCACACCCTGGTATGGTGCGCATGAAGGCTTTGGCAAGGAACCATGTATGGTGGCCAGGTCTTGACAGCGACGTGGAGCGAGCCGTCCGAAGCTGCCATGCATGCCAAGTGAACAGGAATCGTGATCAACCAGTGGAGGTGACACGTTGGCCCAATCCAGCAGCACCCTGGAGTCGCATTCACGCCGATTTTGCTGGACCAATGGAAGGACGAATGTATTTGATGGTGACTGATGCATTCTCCAAGTGGTTGGAAGTGATTCCTATGTCCTCCACCACCAGCAAGACGGCTATCGCAGAGTTCCGGAAGCTGTTTGCGGCGTATGGTTCTCCTGATGCAATCGTGACGGACAACGGCCCGCAGTTCACGTCCGTGGAGTGGAGCAACTTCATGGCTGAGAGAAGTATCATCCACCTGCGCAGTGCACCATACTTCCCCGCAACCAACGGAGCTGCAGAACGCTGTGTCCAAACATTCAAAGCTGCCTTGTTGAGTGAGAAGCGTGGTCTACTGTCCTGGACCGAGGTACTGCAGACGTTCTTGGAACGGTATCGCTCGACTCCTCACGCGACAACAGGAGAAACTCCATCGGAATTGTTCCTTCAACGGGAGCTCAAGACCAGACTGCACCTGGTACAGCCGCAAGCCAAGAATACCACCACCGCTGCCTGCCACCAGCCGCCAGCAAAAGGGTTGGACGAAGGCAGCGCCGTCTATGCGCGGATGTTCAACCAGCCTCAGAAGTGGTCAGCTGGCACCGTATTGCAGCGGAAAAGCACCAAGTCTTTCGAAGTTAAGCTGGCCAATGGTGTCATTGTGCGTAGACATGTGGACCAGCTGCGTGTTCGTGATCCTGCAACGACTCCTGAGCTTCCCTCTGATCCTGAGAAGGTAGTGTAGCGTGGCCCAAGTGGTTGGGCACACAACAACCAACAAGTCTCACCAGAGCAAGGAGAAGTTTGAAGAAATGAAGGATGATCTTTCTTCAGAGACAGAGCTTTTTATATGTGCCAAGACTAAGAGAGTTCAGGTTTCACATAACAACGAGCAACGGTTTAGACCAATCAGGAGATAGAGAGATGGCACAGATTCGGCCAATCAGAAGACATGTATTGGAAGAAAGTAAAGAAAAAAGGAAAGCTTCTGAAAAAGGTAGGTTCGAACTTCACATGCAAAGGATACTAGTCCTATTACTGTGCAGGTTTTAACACACCAAGCTACAGTGACACAGGCACTAGACTACAATGCAACAGGTACAAGCTTGAAGAATCTGCATGCTCTACAGTAGTTCAGCAACGTGATGCTCGGACGCCATCAAGGCGTCACGCACTGAAGGCAGTGAAGCCACAGCGCTACAGGGACTGAACTATTCTAGAGCACCGCTCTGTTCTCTTGTTCATGTTCAGCCGCCTTGTCATAATTAGCGAGGTCAGGCGAAAATTAAATTTTGGAAAACCCTATCGAATTGGGTATCTACGGAAAGCTTAGAGCTTCAGGCGTTCAAATCTAAAATTTGGGCTGGGTTAGAGCAACTGGAAGAGAGTTATGGGTGTTGAAAGGAGCCCGACTACGTGATTTTTTTGTCGCGACGAATGTACGCGTGGGAGCTCGAAAAATGGCACCCGGCACTCGGGTCCCAAGTCGCGACGGAGAGTGCATGATGTAATCTCGCGTGTCACGTGCGTGTACTTCGCTATGCTAGCGGCTAGCGGCACCGCTGCGTGCAGCACTCGAGCCGAGAACTATTACTTTCTGAAGAGAAAATGTTTGTTCCTCTGCAGAGAAGGGAAATGTGCAATTGTCTTCAAGGATCGCCAGTGCATGTACTATTTGCTGTGAACCGGTGATGGTAAGATATTTGGGATCCAATGACGAGTTGGTGGCAACGGGAGCGCTGGCTGCTGTTGATGGATGATGTCGGAAGAAGCGCTTTCTCAAGACAAGTTTCTGCAGACGATCAGGAATTTGAAAACACAATTGTGCTCGAACGTATTGTTTGTTCTGGAGTAGTACAGTAGAGAGACTTTGTTAGAGACATGGTCTGTGTGAAAGTGAACGTTCCTCACTTTCTCTCTCACACAGGTTATGTTTTGGCTGACAACTATTTGTAGTGTTGCCTTGATTGAGTAACACTGACAGCATTGGAAATTTGGAAATAGTTTCCATTTCTGAAATGATGCATACAATTGGACAAAACTTTGTAAGAAAGACATAGCTTTCCGAAACAGTACCTGGGACCGGGACTGAAGTAGCCATCTCCTTACCTTCATCACCAACAAGCTTCTGAATAGATACAAAATGCTGCACACCAGACGCAAGCGAAGTTTAATCGGATTGATGGCGATTCGCTTGCTTCTGTTGCTTTTTAGATTGGTGCACATGCCTTCCCAAAGCAATCCTCCTTGCTGGACAGTGACACCAGTCGGGAGCCATAACGTCGGTGCGCCTCTTGTTACGCCAATGAAACTTGGTAGTCCGAAGGATTAGGGGGCGCTGAACACGATGCAGCAACAACCTAAGGCGTAACAAGAGGCGCAAGGACCGAAACCCGCCCTCGAATATTGGCAAAAAGCGAGAGACAGCGCGTCGACAGAGAAACGTCTGGACGCCGCGCGAACGGGTGGAGGCATTGCTCCATATCCTTACCAAAGGACTAGAAACTTGAAATCGCCCAAAAAGAGCAAGGAGACTGCACAAGCGAAGTTCAAACGCAGGTCAGTTTTGATGCCTCCCGTAAAAATCGAAAAATCGAGTAAAAACCTATGTGCCATGACATCATCGATTTTCAATGGGCCGGGGATGGTCCAAGCGCGACAAGCGAAGTCCGTGAACTGGTCACGCGTCTGACCTCGCTATCATAATGCTCACTCTTCGCACACTGTCCTTCCCTCTGTTAGGCTCTCCCTTGTGTTTTGAAGGGGGAGATTGTAGTGTATGTGTAGTTGCATGACATCATTATTGTGTGTACACCAGTCCGCATGCGCGGTCTCTGAATCTGCATAACTTCTAGTGGAGCGGTGTTCTTTTCCCGCGCCTTGCTTGCTTTCGGACTGTTCTTCCAGATGTACTTGTAATGGTAGTTTTCTCCGACCCTGTGATTGTGCTTTGCTGAACCCGATATAACAATAGTCATGACCATAGGTGCACCGAACACCTAGCAGTAGTATATTGTGTAAGAGTGTAAGCGATCGTCAACGAATCTTCCGTTCCCCCAGCTGGTTCTGACATAGTAGTAGCGTGCACTGCTACTGGCTCCAATTCCAAGAAAGCGAATATCGTCAGGGCGATCTCTTGTTGTTGCTGGCGTCGCGTAATACGTTCCTGCACTGTAACTTGGGGGTACGTACACAATGCTATTATGGAAATAATAATAATGTGTGTTTTAGAACACGTATCTGCGTGCATTGTACTTCCTGAAGAGATCAGTAAAAGAACAATCATGAATGTCATGCAGTGTGCTGGCGAAAACGCCCAGAAAGCGTAAGGGGCCGTCCGTAAATACATGTATTTACCTAGAGACGTCTTACATGATGCTAACATGAACAGGCGTTTCTGGCGGGTGGGTTCAACTGCAAGGCGTTTCTAAAAAGTACATTTCGGAGTGCATGCATACCATACCGTGTGTGTACATGTGCATGATGTAGCATTGCTACATCATGCACATGTCTGTAGTAGCAAGAGTACAGTCATAAAGTACTCTTGCTACTACATGTAGGTACAGGTAGGCGTTGAGACGCATTACACTGCACTGTACATGAAACGCAGAGTAGACAGGGACACTGTTCGCTATGGGTAGGGATCTCAGCGCGTGAACTGCGCAGCCAGTTTGTGAGATTTTAGATCCCAAACGACTCCAGTGCCGAAACCGTGAAAAAGAACATTTTTTTGGAAATAAATCAGGTTGAAGAAGACAGTAGAAATGGCTGAATGTTGCGTCCAGGAAAGCACGTTCTACGGCCATCTCCAAGCTACCTATCTCCCAGAAACTCTCTCAGATGAACTATGGAGGGTTACAGAGCACACTAGTTCACTCTTGGACACAGCGTGACCACCTCTTCTTCTGAGCGCGATGTCTTCTCTCTGCCAGATAATGGCGACGATGTTCACGGTGGCTGATGCACTGAAAATCGAAGTTAGGACAATCTAACCGGAGAAAACGTCTGATTTTTCACTGAATCTTCTCTGAAGAAGGTTCTTGCCGCATGGCAAATTATAGGAAAATCGACCGGGGCAATGTCGCTTTGGCCACGCTATCCTCTGGCGGGAATCACGATTGTGTTTAAACGAAGATGAAGATGACGATTTCACTAGTTTCGACCGCTCCTGCTAGTGTCGAAAATCTACCGTCACCATTTTGCAGCTGTGTCCGCGAGCTGCACTCAAAACTTGATGACGCAATGTATGCGCAAACACCCTGCGCAGTGCACGCGCTGAGATCCCTACTATAGGGTCAATTTTGTATGGGTTCAAACAGGGACATGGACAAAGGTTCGCTATATCACAAAATTCGCTATATGCGACTTTGTTATAAGTGGAGTCGTCTGTACTGTATATGTGTGCATAGTATGGTGTTTATTATGAGTGGTATTATCTGCATTTTTGGGGGGGGTGGGTGGGTCAAGAAAGAAACGCCTGTTAGACGTCTCTAAGTAAATACATGTATTTAAAGGGGAAGTTAAGGCAAAAATTAAAATTTCACCAGTTGTAGTCTTCGGGGTGCTGAGTCGAATGGTCTTGGTTCGAGAAAGCTGAGACGCTCCCTTCCTACTTTAATTCCAATCGAACTCGCGCACTTCCACCGAAACTGGGTGACTGCGCCCTACTAGATGGGGATTTGTATGCAAAATGTCACTAAAAGCGCCATTTCGTTCTTATAAAAGCACGGATGACCGCGATTGGCCCATATGTTGTACTCTTTTGGACGCTGAGTCAACTGGTTTTGGTCCTAAAAGGCTGCGATGCAGCGTTCCTCCTTTATTCCCAATCGAACATGGTTGAACAAGCGGTCACGTGCTCCTGGGTGCCCAAATCACCTGGTCACCTCGCCAGCAGGCGACAACTTTCACACCAAGGTTCAACTCGAGTTCAACTCGAGTGACAGGACTGCACCCAAAAAAGGTCAAACAGGCTAGTAAGTTGTACCCTGCAGGCACGGTGACCAGGTGACTGGCGTACGCAGGAGCACGTGACCGCTTGTTCAACCATGTTCGATTGGGAATAAAGGAGGAACGCTGCATCGCAGCCTTTTAGGACCAAAACCAATCGACTCAGCGTCCAAAAGACTACAACATCTCATCTGGGCCAATCTCGGTCATCCATTATATATGGATGACTTTTATAAGAACAAAATGGCGCTTTTAGTGACATTTTGCATACAAATCCCCATCTAGTAGGGCGCAGTCACCCAGTTTCGGTGGAAGTGCGCGAGTTCGATTGGGATTCAAGTAGAAAGGGAGCGTCTCAGCTTCCTCGGACCACGACCATTCGACTCAGCACCCCGAAGACTACAACTGGTGAAATTTTAATTTTTGCCTTAACTTCCCCTTTAAGGACGGCCCCCAAGCTCCTTGTGTCATGCAAAATGCAGTCCTGAGAGGCGGGCACACACCCCAACAAGGCAGTATGGCAAGTAAGTTCCCCATGTCTTACCCCAAGAAGAAGTAGTGATACCGGCCGACGATAAAATAAAAATGATAATTTATGGTAAAGAAAAGAGACCAAGGAACTACAAGTTACACTAGAATATTCACTTACATCACCAGTTACCTGACAATCAGCTCATGCGATAACTGGTGGTGTAAGTGAACATTATGACGTAACTTGTACTTCCTTGGTCCTTTTTCTTTACTATAAATTAATCTCCATCCGAAAAAATAATAATAGGGCCACCCAGAATTAATTCGTTGTTTCGGGTCACCCGACCGACTGTCTTTTTTCACCCGACCGCAATTTTTTTTAGTGCATGCAAATGTGCATGACTATAAGGTAGACTATGTACACACGCGACCTAAAATATAGCAGTCCAGACATCGACCTCAGAAGCAGCCGACAGGATGCAGCTCTTGGTGACGACGTTGTCTTTTATCTCCGATTCGCAATCGGTCCTGAAACAGCATCAGCGCTCGTCAGACTCGTTTGCCAGCGAGGCCAACTGAGATCTGGTCCTGGAGGGGACCTGGATCTGATGGGACAATGGCTACGCTGGATCGACTACAGTCAGATTTGATCGACTTGCTTGATGGAGAAAAGCTATTCGATATGCATAAGTGTACATGTATGCACATGCCCGCAACTAAAATAAAAAATAAAATACAAAATAAACCCGACCGACCGACCCTGGTACGGATAAGTGAAGTGACCTGAAACAACGAATTAATTCTAGGTGGCCTAATAATAATAATATTAATGCAGGCCATGGCCAAAGAATTTCCTGCCAACCTAGCTGTATAATTATGTTTGTCACTGAATGCAATAATATTATGATACTGACTCCGTAGAACAGATTATTTGTTCTATACAATATCAAATTTGCAAAAGGTATTAGTACATGAGCTGTTGGAGTCTTGTTTAGTAGATTATTAGCAATATTGTTTAACAAAATAAATGTTTATTCGACTCTACCTGGACTCACGGTGTACATGTCTGGAGACACGAAGCCAATGAGGTCTAAGTAGCTTGGAGAGCTAGCATGTAGTGACACAGCTAAACCTAGCAGTATGCAGTAAAACCTGACTGGTTGGTGACCTCTGGTATTAGCGAACACCTGATTTTAATGACCGCTTTTCAATGCACTGGCAGTTCTGCGAGCAAACGTTTCGTGACCAACGACCAACATTTAGTACCAAGTATCATGTCTGACCTGCGTAGCTGCATGCAACGACTAGTACAAGTGCTGCTGGCAGGCTTGTCCTGCAACAGGGTTGAAGAGGGCTCAAAAGCGAGTGCATACTGCATACACTGGTTCAGTCAACTGAAGTGACAAGTGACAGTGCAGGGTACAATGCACTTGAGTGTGGTGTGAAAGGTTTTGAATTTGAAAACTCATGGATGCTTCATCTTCATGAATAGTGTTCTATGCCCAATACCTGTCAATATAATAGTATGTAGTTGCATAGAAGCAAGTGCACGATCCAGTAACCCGCAAATGTACGGGACCTTGTTCTAAAGACCACCTGGATTTAACGACCGTTTTGCTCGCTCCGTAGGGTGGTCGCTAAAACCAGCTGTTACTGTGCTAGCAAATAAGACAAACGTGTAGATAGCGTTCCAGCGTGGTTGAAAGCGTCACGGACACATCACGGGATAGCTTTATCGAATGATCACAATACTTGCGTGAACGCAAAAATCTAAATGCACGCTATAGAAATAGCCTTACTTCTCTCAGATAGGCATAAGCTACCTAGTAGAGTACATGACATTATACTGGCATAATGGTACTTGTACTCACTTGCATGCCACTTCGTATGTGGCACACTGCGTCCCACATTCCTAGCCCTTCACTCCTTATGACTTATGTGGCACACGGAGTCCCACATTCATAGCCCTGCACTCCTTATGTGGCACACTGCGTCCCACATTCCTCGCCCTGCGCTCCTTTTGTGTCTGCATACTCTTTACACTATTTTTTTGCTTTCGGTTTTCCTTGTGGCTTAGTAATAAACTCTTTATGAAGCCATTGTTTGGCACAGTGACCTTTTAGTCCTGTACAGTCAACTAATTGCGTATAACAACACTCGGTGGGGCATCATAAAAGTGTCCATATTCGCGAAGTGTCGTTATACCCGAAGTCTCATGATATGTGCATGTATTACAGTTAGATGGGACTTTGCTCTGGGCATGGAAATTCTGTCGTTTTTCGCGAATTGTCGTTATATCCGCAGTCGTTATTAGCGAAGTTGACTGTAGTTGCGTTGCCATTGTGCCTCATCAACCTAGCCTGTGTAGTATTCTACCTTGCCTAGTATCATGGTAGCACTCCGTTGGATTATAATTGGATTAGTTTGTCCTGCAATTAGCTTGTTTTTTTAGACTGGAATCTTTATTTTAAAGTATTCTCTATTCAGAAAGTAGTCCAGAAGTATAGTGGGTTTCGAAAGTATAGACCTCTAGACTTTTTGACTAATTCAATAATAATAATTACGGTTTGTGCTTTTTGAGAGAAATTTCTTCGGGATATTGCTCGGGCAGTTCCCCCAATTTTTCTCTTATTTATAGATTTCTAGGTGAATGAATAACAAACACCCGATTTCGCAGATTTTATGCAAAGTGATCACAGATTTTATGTGGTATAGATGCTGGCCTAACGGGATTTAGACACCAGATGTCTATACAGTCAGACCTCGCATAACCGCACGCATCCGTTTCCCACAAAAATATCCGGATAGGCGAGGGAACTGGATAATCGAACACACATACTGTATGTATGCATGGCATATGCTGTAAATCGGTAACCAACAATTTTCTTCCGGATGGCGAGGGATCCGGATAAAAAAGGACCGGATAAGCGAGGTCTGACTGTATTTTTGAAACTCATTATAGTAGAGTCGACGTCAAGGGCAAACCCGAGATGCAACGCATGAAAGGTTGTATACAAATCCATAATCATAGATTTCCCCCAGTTTCCCTGGAGACAAGAATGCGATAATACTTAGGAAATGGACACACTTCGGGCTCTTGAAAGTTTTCGGTTTCACTAGTATACTTTCATGCCTTATTGTCGGGTAAAATACAGGCAAAATCTACTTCAGTAATGCGCAAGGGCAATAGATCAAGTACAGTAGAGAGGTGATAGGAACAGCGCAAGGAAGAAGAGCTAACATAACAACAAAGATTGGGCGTCACATACACATAGAACGGAATGGGGTTCACACTTGCACCTTTTCTCAAACCGGACAGACACAATGCACAGGGTTCCAAGAAAATAGTGGGAGCAGTGAGACATCAGGCAACCTACAGATTTACTAACTTTGTTGCATACAAAATCTACGTGAGAATTCCAGGACAATTGCGAGTCAAAGCTGCCCATGGAAATGAAGACAATATCCAATATTAGACAGTTCATAGACCATGTTAAATGCCATGCCACGCTGTAGGCTCGCTCGCCTCTTTTGCTAGCTTATCTCGCCGCTCTCCACCATGGTCAACATAGTGATAAATTTCACCCCGCTGATGCATCTTGTCTTCCGATTATCGTCTTCTTTCTTTCTTTTTTCTTCTCTTGCCTTAGCTGGCTAACGCCCCCTCCTTCGCATTGGCTTCTGCCATTGGACGGTGAAATAAAATAAATAAATATAAATAGCTGGTATCACTTGGAAATTGTTCAAGTAATGTTTTGTGATCTTTGTGTGACCGGGTTTGGTGGCCGTTGCTGTTCTTCGCATTGTTCCTTGAAGGTCAGATTGTCGTGTTGGTTAGTACTTCGAAGTAGTAACTTTAATAGTACCAGACATGAAACATACTTGTGCGTGTAGTATTATAGTTGATGCGATTAGCTTTTATTCCAGAACTCTTGTAATAGTAAATCGATGTTTATGATGTGTTTTGTGTGTATGGCTTTTTCCTACGACAAGAGCATAATAATTTTAGTATAGTGGGTTCGCAACTGAGAGAAACACGTTCTTCCTGGTATGCTTTCCACTTTGTCTTTTGTTATTCTAGGCAATGGCGATGAGCCAAAGCAACATCTGGGAGTATTCTGACGTGCGCGCAGTGTTACGGGAAATCATCAAGAAAGTGGATCCTGTCATGCTGAGGATACAATGCTCTGGAGAAAGTGCTATCACTTTAGACTGCAAGGAAAGACTGAGAGGCATTGATAATAAAATAGAACACAATGAAACTCTCTTTTCCTACTTAGAACAGACTGGACCGCAGACTTTTTCTACGCTACTGGAGATTTTAAGAAAATATCTTCCACTTGGACAAGAGATGTTATACAAAGAGCTGGTGGCAGCTAAATTATCCTACCATAAAAGTGTCAAGGGTTCTCAGTCCACTTCAAATGTACCACGTAAGAATGATGTGTCACATCTGCTAGATCATAATGGGTTTGGTTGTGTAATATTGTATCTCCCCGGCCTCCCCCCCCCCCCCCCCGACACACACACACAAGCAACCCCTTGACTACCACATTCCCACAACCACCTCCCCACAACCACTACTCTAGTGTATTTTTGTCGATGCTCCCAAGGGAACTCACTATGCCTGCTTACACCTGGAGTAATCTGGATTGTGCTATATTAGTAGCAGTGGTGAGGCTTCCTGCAGCTTCTATCATAGGAAGTGTTTTAGAGCAGACCCGGCGCTCTTTCCCATTCAGTCTACAACAACATCAAACTCATTTATTAATCAATTGTTGCAACGTTTTGGCAAAATTGCCCTCGTCAGGTATGCAATGGTATGCAAGCTTGCAAAGGAGAAGTTACGGTATACAATACTACGTTGTGCTACATCGGGGTGCTATTTTCTAGTATTTTGTTAGTTGTTGTTGGGGATGGGGAGTACAATATCAGCCCACATCGTATGGGTACAATGTGCTGGAAGATGAGGAAGAGTTCCTAAACGACATGTTTACATAACAGCTGTGTAGTCCTTGCCTTGACCTCAGGTTCCTGCCCATTGTTTTTGTTGCTCTCTGCATGTTTTGCTCACGCATTCAGGATTTTCCAAGTTGGTCACTGTTTCCCCAACTATTTCTTCCATTTATTTGGACAATATTATAGTGATTACTGATGCCAACTCTACTTTTATGAGAAATGTGCTAACTCTGCCCATGCGTTTTTTACCAAACTATTGTTTAGTTCCATCCTGGATTTCTGTTCCTTCATCTAAAATCCTGAAGAAGAGATTGGTGCGACTTCAGCGATACTTGGGGAATTAATTGTGTGTTGCTCCCTACGTGGCAGCTCACACACTTTTCCTGCTGACTTGAGTTTTCACTTGACTGACTCGCGACTGTAATCCAGAGCACACGAGAAGTCCATCAAACCTTCCACTCGGCCAACCTGCAAGAAAGCACCACTCCTTGCTCAATACACAGTGAGCAACACTGCCTCACGCCGCTATCTGGTGTTCACGAGGTGTTTGTCGTGCTGGAAACGGAGCGTCTCTGTAAGTTTGTATCCCTGGTGATGTTTTTTTGCCTGGAGAGCACTATATAAGTAGTGCTCTTCAGGCATAATTTCCCTCAGCCTACTCAAGCTCAACTGATAAGGGCTGAATTCCCTGAAACACTGTTCATTGAGCAGGGAGTGGTGCTTTCTTGCAGGTTGTCCGAGTGGAAGGTTCGATGGACTCCTCGTGTGCTGTGGATGCCAGTCGTGAGTCAGCAAGGCCGTCACAGCTGGGGCGGCTGAGGCCGCCCCACTTTTTCGGCATTTTTGGAGCACACTGCAACAAAGCACAATGATCCCAGCTCAGCGCAAACGTGGCAAATAATGAAAAATCCTGGTCCCCGACCGTGGTTTGTTGCAGAATCAAAAAGTCTTTCATTGAAATGGCACCAAAATGCCTGGAAATGCTTGCAATTGGCTTCAAGTTTTGAAATTGTTTCCCAGGGGAGGGATGAAGAATCCTTGTGCCCGATAGTAGCGTCTTCTTGGTTTGTTGCCGAATCAAAAAGTCTTTCATTGTAGTAAACATCACCAGGGGGCTGGCACCGGGGGCTCTTGGCCAAGCTTCGTGGATCATTTACTGTAGACGGCAATCCCCTGCTATGGCTGACATCTTACCTAACTGGGCGAACGCAGTACGTCACGGTACATGGGACGTCCTCAGCCGACACAACAGTACTATCCGGAGTTCCCCAGGGTTCCATCCTCGGCCCCCTTCTTTTTATCTTATACGTCAATGATCTGCCCGCAGCTGCCCCGGGCACATCACTATTCGCAGACGACACAACGCTCCTACGGGCATCTCCTAACATCACTGGCCTGATGAGTAACCTAGCTAACGGGATTCAAAGAGTAATTTCCTGGATGTCGTCTTGGCGGTTATCGCCCAATCTGTCTAAAACTAAAATCATGCTCTTTCCTTCTCAGCCTGATGCTTCGCCCCTCCTCCATCCCACTTTCCCCCAGCCTATAGACATAGTCTCCAGCCATAAGCATCTTGGCATTTTCATTGACTCTAATCTTTCATGGGAACCCCACATCGATTACATATGTAAACGATCAAGTTCATCTTTAGGAATCCTCTCTTCTCACTGTTACCATCTCCCAATCTCTTGTAAACTCCTCTTTTACTCAGCTTACCTACACCCCATTTTTGATTATGCAGATACTGCTTGGGCTGGAATTTCCACAACCTGTGCTGCCAAGCTCGAAATTCAGCACAAAAAAGTTCTAAAAATCCTCCTCCGAAAACCCCGCATGCTCCCATCTTCCACCCTTTATGCCCTTGCTGACACTACCTCTTTGTCTAAGAGACGTAATTCACATCTTGTCACCCTTATCCATTCTCTCAAACTCAATCTGTGTCCACCTCACCTCCACTGTTTCAACTGGTTTTCTTCCCGTAGCACGAGAAACTCCCTTTCCCTTCCGAAACCCAAGTCCTCCTTTCTACTTCACTCTCCCCTTTTCACTGCGTACTCTGCGTGGCTGGCACTTCCCCAAGAAGCTAAGGACCTTTCTTCCCTCTGCCTTTTTAAGAGCCTTGTCGCGCCTTGACTTTGATTTTGTGTTTCTCATTTTGTTGCAATCACTACTTATCCATGCCGGTTCCTTTTTTTTCTTCTCCTCCCCTTCTCCCTTCCTTGCCGTGGTTGGCTAACACCCTCTCTCTTTGTATTGGCCGGTGTTCTCACTGTGCTATGAGATGTAATAAATAAATAAATAAAAATGAAGTTACACTGAAATGGCACCAAATGCCCGGAAATGCTTGCAGCTGGCTTCAATTTTTGAAATTTTTTCCCGCGGGAGGCCCCCGGACCCCCCCCCCCCCCCTTCCATGGCTGCCCCACCTCCAAAGTCCAAAGTCAGGCCTGGTCAGTCAAGTGAAAATTCAAAAGTTGGCAGGAAAAGCATGAGCTCCCACGTTGGGAGGGACACACAATTCCCTAAAATTCTGAAGTGTCTTCAAAACTCAACCTGCTTTGTTCTTCTCTTCTGCAGAAAACTACTTGCCGGAGAGAACTAGTGGAGAACCTAACCATTCCATACATGCTACAGGCGAAGAGAGTGAGTCCGCATACAAATATTATGACTGATTGTATGACTATGCGTCTGTGTTTCATGTGCACACGTGTGTGTGTGTGTGTGTGTGTGTGTGTGTGTGTGTGTGTGTGTGTGTGTGTGTGTGTGTGTGTGTGTGTGTGTGTGTGTGTGTGTACTTGGTATGTGGTGTTTATGTGAGCGTACGATAATAATCTCTTTAATAATATTAATATCTTATTTCAGGATTACATAACGCTGGCGAATGCCTATCAGGGGGATCTCCTATTTGAACATGCGCATATGTGTGTGTATGATGTGCCCTAGCTCACTTATAAGTTATACACGTAGATCATGTCCATGATGCCTTTCCTCTGCACAGGCCCACCGGACTATTGTTTTTAAGATTTACATATTACTTCTGCGTATGCATTACATACTATGATCGCGCTGGCTCCAACCCTTGTCTCCTGAGCTACCCCCTCCCCCCCCCCCCCCTCCTGGGGGGTCTGCCCAGTGTTGACTCCGAGACCCACGGTCGGACGAGCTGTCCAGGCCTCACCATCACTGCCAATAAAAAATATAATAAATAAAGACGTGCATCCTGAATTACACCTACTGTAAGACCCGCAAGAGGGAAATACTAGACAGCAATATACCAGAGCACCATCCACACATCACAAACACAGTAAGACGTTTTGGAATGTTAGATCTCTATGTTTGGTTTGGCCTTTATGCCATCATTATAATACTGTCGGCCAATTTTGTGTTGCCAAGTGGGAGAAATATTTTTGAGATCTTCCTCTTTAGAGCACATCCCGCGTCCTTCAAACTAATCCAAGGCCCAGAACGTGTCATCAAAGAGTTGTAAAATTACTTCGAAGTACAATTGAGCGGACTTTAAACTAGTCCAAGCCCCTGAATGCATCAGCAAAGAGTAGTGAAGTTTTGATTGTGCAAGATTTAAGGCTTAAAGTTAAAGCACTGATCAGGCCCTTGGTAGAACACAGGTGATTGGTCGTCTCCTAGATGACGAGACAGATCTCGTTCTCAAATTATATAACACACTCAGTGTCAACCTGCATGGTCTCTTTAGGCATAAGCCGGAGAAACGAGCCATAAGACCCTCCCTGCCATGCATTATCCTATAAGGGGTGGCTGACACTTGGAACCACACTGCGCATGCAGTCTTCGCTTAATGCAGATATGCATGCCTGTTGCCGTCTCGATTTACCTACTCTCTGTCTCTGTCTTTCTTTCTCTGTCTTTCTCTCTCTCTCTCTCTCTCTCTCTCTCTCTCTCTCTCTCTCTCTCTCTCTCTCTCTCTCTCTCTCTCTCTCTCTCTCTCTCTCTCTCTCTCTCTCTCTCTCTCTCTCTCTCTCTCTCTCTCTCTCTCTCTCTCTCTCTCTCTCTCTCTCTCTCTCTCTCTCTCTCTCTCTCTCTCTCTGTCTTTCTCTCTGTCTGTCTCTCTCTGTCTCTCTCTCTCTCTGTCTCTCTCTCTCTGTCTTTCTCTCTCTCTCTGTCTCTGTCTCTGCCTCTGTCTCTCTCTCTGTCTCTCTCTGTGTCTGTCTCTCTCTCTCTCTCTCTCTCTCTCTCTCTCTCTCTCTCTCTCTCTCTCTCTCTCTCTCTCTCTCTCTCTCTCTCTCTCTCTCTCTCTCTCTCTCTCTCTCTCTCTCTCTCTCTCTCTCTCTCTCTCTCTCTCTCTCTCTCTCTCTCTCTCTCTCTCTCTCTCTCTCTCTCTCTCTCTCTCTCTCTCTCTCTCGGCATCTTTAGCAGCAAATTTCCATGAGGCAGAGAGTGAAGGACCTTCTTTTGTTCTTTTTAACCATAGCCAGCAATCGCATGTCATCACGTACATTCAAAATCAACATAATTATGCTAATCGACCTTTTTTTCAGCATCACGGTTCAAGTCCTGCTTGGAAGCGGAAGGATTTTTTCCAACCGTGCTGCGACCCACAGTTAATTGGGAACTCGTGGCCTGGCATGAGTAATACATGGATGTGGCAAATGGGATCGAGGCCTTTGGCCTCTGGTTGGTGGATCTGATCTATCCTCCCCCACCGTTTAGGAGCCGTATCTGACGCCTGATCATGGGGTGGTGGCGTCCCACGGAAGCGGAAAGGTGGTTCTTGACCAGGGAGTTGTACGACTCCTTGTTCTTGACCTGCCTGGTACGCGAACCCCGTCGAATTTTTTTCAACAAGGATGAAGCAAAGTTGGCCGAACCAAGCCCAGAGGAAGAAAATCACCCTCTCCACTTCACCATCACGATACTACGGATACTGACATAGATACGAGACGAAACAACTAACAAATCCACAAGAAAACTGTACGACCATCATCTTTGGTCTGAGAATTTCTATCACGATCAAAATTGTACGAGGAGCACTCAAAATGAGCTACAGACGTACCTTTACCACTCTCTACTCCTTTTTCAAGGCACAAAAGTCGACTCTCCACTTTCAAACCAGGAACCAGACATACCAGTGGTCCTTTTCAGCTGCTCCACGAGCGCAGGAAATGTTTACCAAGGGGCGCAGAGCAGCCACCATTCCAGAAAAAGAGCTAAAATACGAGTGAGACTGCATGCCTGAGTACATGAGTACATGCAGAAAATAGTCAATTTCAGCGTTTCTGCTCCAAACAGCAACTTCCTTCTACTAGCTACAAAGTCTACACCAAAGGATCAAACAACGACCATTTTCTTCATTTTTCTGGCAGATGGCTTCCTTGTGCTTGGCCCGGCACGCCAAAAATCACACCTCGGAGGAGTCCAAAAATGACAACTCTCAGATGTCCTCGATTGCTGGCCATGTTTCACTTGTGTTTGTCTTGTTTGCCTATAGTACCACCACAATCGGCAGCTAACCGACCAATTGCAACAGCTGCACCACCACCAACATCACCACCACCACCAACATCACCACCACCACCAATACCACAGACAGCAGCAGGAAGAGAATCAAGAACAATCTGGTGTCGTATTCTGGTACACAATGATATATTCTTAATCAAACATATCTCTTCAATCGCCCCCATACTTCAGGACATGAGGCGAGCAGGTGCCTCCCTGACACGTTTCTTTGATTCAACAGAATATTCATCGCTACGTGCTGAGATACAGGTAAAATGTTGTGTTATCCCTTGAGTAAAAATCATGAATGTTCTTTGAATGTTTCAGTCCCTTATGATATAGATAAAGTACTGTTGTGCACAAACTATTTAAGAATGTTTGTGCACCGTTGAACAAGCACATATCTATATCATAAGCGATTGGCACTGTTGTGTGTTGACGCTGGTTTGTATAGATTGGTCAATTGACATGCATTGATTAAGTCATTGTACAGTCAACCACAAGGAAGGATTGACTAGTTCCATTGTATGAATACAACGATTGATGCTAACATAATACCAGTGTTCTAGCCAAAGGCGGGTAGGGGGCACAGCCCCCCCCCCGTGAGAATGTGGCGCCATCTATAAGGCAGTTCAATGAAAATGCAGTCAATAGTCACTAACAAAGGGTTCATAAAGGCACACTTGTCTGGAGCGAAGTCTGGAATTTGCTCTCATACGTTGCAGGGATGAATTTATTGTCATATTTTTGCATAGCAGTTTCTGCTATACAAAATCACAATTGTGTAGCAGTCTTTGATTTTGATTAGCATTTTTCTCTGAAGGTTGGGTGTTTACCACATTGTCCTTCTTGAGATTGATGCCTGAAAGCCCATTTGCAAAAAAATGACTGAATCATACATGTACACGCAGATTGAGAGTGCCTGCACAACATATACTGCACTGTATGCATGTTACTTGACAGCACAGGCTAGGCATGGATAGTCTTTATGTATCGCAATTTTCTGCGAGTCACGGTGACTTTTGAGTAGCAGTTGATTGATTTTGCATCGCAAACTGCGATGCGATACAGGATAAATTCATCCCTGCGTTGCATTTTGCATGGCAAGAACATTCTTGGAAAATGGGTTACGGGGTAACTGTTTCCCCTGCCCCCCCCCCCCCTCCCACTATTATGATGTGGCTAGAACTCGGTAATACCGTGATGAACTAATCAAATAAAAATATATTTAAAGAAGTCGAGACAGTGCTAGTGACTTCACCGATGATTTTATAAGAAAGGTGTTCGCTCCCCACACCGGAGCTCACGCCTTTTAAGTTTCAGGTCAAGTCGGCAGAAAAGCGCGAGCTCCGGTATGGGGAGCGAACACCTTTCTTGAAGAATAGTTCATGAATGTGTCTGTCGATGGTCGTTAGTGAATTTACATCGAATTGTGATTAAGAGATCAAATCAATATCATGATGATTGTATTCAAACTGTGCAATAATATAATCGCCCTTGCACCTTTTTGAAATTGTAAATTTTGCAACTTTCAATCAGGACAATGTAGCACAGTTTGAACACATAATAATATTGGTTTGATCTCTCAATCACTATTTGATGTGAATTTACTGACGACCATTGAGGAAAAACGTTAATGAATTTTTCGTTAAACAACAGAACAACAAGGACAATCAAGGCTTGTTTGCTGCTACTTTAAGTTTCATGCTCACGGAATCATCAGGCAACTGTTGCCTGATGATTCCGTGAGCATGAAACTTAAAGTAGCAGCAAACAAGCCTTGATTGTCCTTGTTGTTCTGTTGTGTATTACGCTCTGCCTTTGTGGTGTTGAGCACTGTCAGCACTCTGGGTACATCCTTCGGTGAATTTTTCGTTAAATAACTTTCTTGGAGACAGGAAGCTTATCAGGGAAAGAAAACTACAAATCTCGTTGTATTTCTCGCGAAATATTTTCAGTTGCAAATATGGCATCTGGTGTGTTCTTTGTTGTCGCTTCTTTTCCTGACTTCTTCACTCAGTTTTGAGTCTCACCAGTGTCCCTGCCCTCCTACCCTTTATTTCTGTGCATATTATCAATGCTTTTTATCACTGTTTGCCGTGATGTGCTTGCCATGCCTACATGATGCCTAATCGCCATTGGGGATATACACCCGGTTTTTTCCCTCACAAATGCGTCCGTCGGCGCGAGGGGTTTTCCCGGCTGGCTCGGTCCAGGAAAATTAATCTGACACTCCCAAGTGGTTCTGCATCATGGCCTATTTCTGCTATCCACTGGCACGACTATTCTATCTGAGACACTCTGTTCTCAGTCCTTGCTTGCTTCCATACCTCACTCGTTATCCGGTTCACATCTGGCTGCGGCCAACTACCCTTCACTTTGTGTGTTGTCGCTATTGCTGTCTATGTCTCTGTGTATGCCAGTATATGTGGAGCGAGAAAAGCTATTCTTTACCATCATAATTATCATCAATAAGGACTCCGAAATTTATGAACCAGTTTTCGGGCATTCTCTTCAAATGAAATAAAAGCAACCAGAACCAATGACACATAGGGGTAAGTAGCATCACAAGGGTGGTAACCATTACAACTAGGTGATAAATTTAGCGAAGAATTTATGCACAAGGGGAGATAAGAAAAAGGGAAGAGAGAAAGAGAAGTGAGACAAGAGGAACTTAACACACACACACATACACTGTGTAAAGACAAACGCCAAATGGACACTACATTAACTAGTGGGATCAGGGGTGTCAGTAAACAACTTGAGAGAATAATAAATTTAAAATTTAAAGATATTACATTTTTCTTTTGTTTACACAAAGGTCACGGCTGGGTTGTGTAAATATTAATAGCTTCTAACACTTTCAGGTGGTGAAAGTGTAATATCTCCACACACGGTATGTCGGGAATCAAAAAATGCCTGTACGTGGGTCACTGAGTATCACATGGTACACACACGTAAAGTAAACACGGATTACGTGGGACTAAACCTCTTTTTTGTTCCAGTACCTCCTCTAATTTTGCTGTATCTTGCTTCATTTGTGGTCTTGTTGTTTTGGCTGCTGGAACTACTATTGATACTGCTACTGCTCCTGCTGCTGTGGTCGTAGATGGTGGTGGTGCTGCTGCTTCTTCCACTGTCACTGTTACTGCCGATACCACCGTTACTTCTTCTTGTCTTGCGTGCATTGTGTATTATTGGATCCTTTGGGGTATTCGACTAACATACTTCAAAATATGAGGTATGTGGTGAAGTCACTATAATTTGTCTGTCTTTGGCCACTGGCCACAATGTTAGGGCCAGAACATTGACAACCGATGAACTGTTTTGTTCTGTGCATGTATAACAGGTTGAGCTGTTGCTGAATGAGATCCTGCGCCAAGGTGAAAATGTCTACAATCATTTTGATAGGGCTCTGGAAAAATGCTATACGGATGTATATGCATCACTGTGCAGCAGAGTAACACAGCAAGGTAAGTACGAGTGTTTCTGGAATATGATTTTTGTTTTCCTCTGTTACGAAAATATACTCTGTACCAAAATGTCTACCCTCCATGTACCTTCCAGTGTTCCTCATTAAATCATGCAGACACTACAGTTTCGTGCAGTGTGTTCTCTGAAGCCAGGTCGAGCTATACCATGCCAGATTGCTCTAACTTCGGCTATAAAGAACAAATTCTCCTGCACAATGGTGTTCGTCTTGTCATGAGTCAACTGTACACTCATACCTCGTTTATCCGGGCAGTCTGGGACCGACCACTGCCTGCAACTTTGAATTGTCCATAACTCCGAATCACATACATTTTGATGGGGAAAGGCCGTAGATACGGCATAATGATGTCACTATGTCCACACAAAATGCCAAGGGAGTAGTAATATTTCCGCTGAAACTCGCCGAAAGGGTGCCCAGTAGACCAAAGTGCCCATACCTTCGGGGTCCGGATAAAATATTCGATCTTTTCATTTACTTTTGTTGGTCTTTTTCTACAATTTAATTCTCCCCACCCGATCTCCCTTTGGTGCATCCACCGAGCTATGAAGCCGAGACCTCTCGTCGGCTGAGCTTAATGGGCCTCACCACTGCCAGGGCCACCATCACACTCCATTATTCACCCCAGTGTCTGGAGATACATGGATTTGTAGAAAAACGAGGTATGAGTTTACATGTACATGTACATGCATGCCACACTAGGGATAGTGAATGCAATATCTACAGTCATGTACAGTCATGTACAATATCAAATCCTGGTCATCCCGTGTGTCCTGGCCACCCCGGGCATCCTGGTCATTCCGGGCATCCTGGTTATCCCGGGTATCCTGGTCATCACGGGTGTCCTGGCCACCTTGGGCATCCTGGTCATTCCGGGTGTCCTGGCCACCCCGGGCATCCTGGTCATCCCGGGCATCTTGGTTATCCCGGGTATCCTGGTCATCCCGGGTGTCCTGGCCACCCCGGGCATCCTGGCCACCCCGGGCATCCTGGTCATCCCGGTTGGCCACCCCTCACATCCTGGTTATCCCGGGTGTCCTGGCCACCCTGGGCGTCTTGGTCATTCCGAGCATCATACCATCAACGTAGGTACAGGATGTTTATGAAAGCAATCTTGTAGGAATGAGTATATTGTGGTCACAGGTTTTCTCTGATGAATCTCCCTTCCGTTTTTCTGTGTGTTACAGAGAGACAATTCAGAGAAGACTTGCGACAGCCAAAGGGATTTACAGATCGCATGGGCCATACAACTTTCTTTCCAGCTGGACCCAGTGGCATAGAGTCAATTACCACTGGACCTTTTCATAGCCGGAGTGGACTTGTGTATGTTCCTGGTGCGTATGTTCCTGGTGCGTATGTTCCTGGTGAGTGTTTTAAGCAGTTGAATCTAGCATGGCACATGATACGGTGCAGTCCACACCCTGTACGTTAATTGAAAAGTTTGAATAGCATATCACTGACACATAATTGTGGGATGAAGAATGCGTCTGTTCTGCATTCATGCACCATGCTGGTCCATGAAATCCAACTAACTGTTACTTCTTCACTCGTGAATAGGTGGATGTATGAACAGAGCCAAGTGACAGTGCTGCAGGGTATGACAGTGATATGTCTGAATTAGCAGTTTTCATCCGTGCTTTTATAAGAACGACATGGCGCTTTTAGTGACATTGTGCATACGAATCCCCATCTAGTAGGGCGCAGTCACCCAGTAGAAGTGCGCGAGTTCGATTGGGATTAAAGAAGGAAGAGAGCATCTCAGCTTCCTCGGACCAAGACCATTCGACTCAGCACCCCGAAGACTACAACTGGTGAAAATTTGATTTTAGCCTTAACTTCCCCTTTAACACTTGGACAGGTTAATATGGAGTGTGCGGGGGACATCTTTTTAGAGGAGTATTTAGATATAACTAGCTACCTTTGTGGACAAGTTATAACTCCTCACTTATTTCACTATAATATACTGTGTGGTGTTTTGTGGGTGTGCACTGCAGCACAACGGTTTGATCCCATGCTCGTTGGAAATCGTCAACATCCATCATCAAGAGGCCAGTACGGCTACAATCCTCATGACCCAGGAGCCAGTAAGGAACTTTATTGTTTTGGATCTAGCACGTTCTATGGGATGTTAAATATGCATGTTCGTGGTGAAGCGTATTGGCAGTTTGTTAGGTTTACAGCTTTGACTATGGTAACTGGCTTTGATGAGATGATAGAGCAGGGCGGCAACAAGAGTCTGTTACACGATACTAGGATAGGCTTTTTACACAACCTTAGTCCTACATGTGCATGATTGATAATAGTGCAGCTGGGAGAATTAGTGGCTAGGACCATTGTGGTAATGTATGAAACTAATATGCAGCAGAGTCCAGGAACCTAAAAATCTTCAACTATGGGTTGGTTCTTGACTTCCATCATTACTTCAGTCTTCATCAATCAGACCGTCACATCATGACAACCTTGGGCCCCTTAAAAATAGTCCAGCTTCACAAGAACGCATGGTTGTTGTCACTTAAACATTATTTCATACATGTGTATCTCCTGGTCAAATCCAATTTTCAAGAGCTGGAATGCAAAACCCATGCCATCGCTTTTCAGGTAATGGCCAAAAGTATTCATTTTATGTGCGGTTTAATCTCAATCCAAATTTGGGTTCCAGTTTTGAAATGGTTCCAGTCAGATTTTAAAAATATGTTGGTTTGCGTTGCGCAAACCGTAGTTAACCTACATGTCACAGAGCCGCATCTTCCGCATGGAGATGCCGTCCGCGGACACGCCAAAACCGGCTAAGTCTCATACGAGCTCCGCTAAAGTTGTACGCACTGCCGGGCTCTCGCGCGGGGCCCCACGCAAGCATTCGCAACCGCGATGCGCGTACGGCATGCCGTATAAGCCACCTACCCGCCTTGGGTGCAAGCTCACCCAAGGCCACCCTCGCAAGGCAGGAACAAGTATGATTTTCTCACACCTGTCGCTTAGCGGATTTTGCATTCTACCTCTTCATTTGCTCTTCAGACTTTTTCCCATTTACCCACTTACAAACTAACTAGATGTCCAAACTAGCACGTGGAGAGCCCCATAAAATGTTTTGGGGCTCTCCATATGTTAGTTTGCACATGAAATGTGTAGGTACAGTGGGGGCGGCTTATACCAGCCTGTGTGATTTACAGGAAGCGTGAGTTTGGAAGTCTAAAGATACTGTTGAACTGTCTCTGCAGGGACTACGCCTACAAGATAGCCGAAGTTAGTGGCTAGAGTATCACGGTCCTATAACGAAAGCTCCTGGATCGAATGGTAGTCAGAGAGTTTTTCAGACTTTTCCCGTTTCACCTCTTTCAAACTAATTAATATAAACCTACCAAGCTAGAAGAGAACAGAGACAACCGGCTAGGTCATTGTTGTAACACTGCGTTCCATGCACATAGCAAAGCTAAGGCAATCCTCAGGCAACTGATAACCTGTACATCATCTAGGTCCAAATGTATACCCAGGCAGGTAGCAAAGCAAAGCGTAGCAAAGTGCGACATTAGTGTGACATTTCAAGTTATTGAGACATGGTGCGGATGGTGTCAGTTTTTTACATGGGAGGTGAAAAGGAGGGAGAGAAGGAGAGGTGACAGTCAAGTTACAGTGACGGCAGACATGCCCTGGGCCTAGTGGTGGCAGGCAGGTGACTAAGTCACACCAGTGCCGTAGTGCGAGAGGTAGAACTTATTCTGGTGTCGAAATTTTGATACCTATTTTGATTTTTTGTTGAGGAGTGTGGCTGAGTCAGCATGGATGATCTGGACCCTTTCTGCTAAGCACAGGCCACACCGTTTTGTGATGTTGTAGGTCTTTGCGCTGGTGACAATGGATCATTTAATGTTGTACTCTTTATCCTGGTCCTCCAGTGCCCACAAGTGCTTCGACACCTGCGTGCCTTTGCAGTACTTTTCGTACCTCATAGTCGTGAGGTGGTTGCCATAGCGCGTCTTGAACAGTGTCTCGCAAAGCCCGAAGTATCACTTCTCCTCTCCTGAGCTCCGTGTCGTGACGGCCGCTTGGTAGACCACCCTCTCCTGCAAACACCAGCCTTCCAAAGGGCAAGTGGGTTACGCTCGGCAGTGCATTTCTCTGCCGGTTTCCGCACGTCGGCCTGGGCCAGCACCTTCTGTTTGCTTGACACTCGCTTGTTAATCGTTTCCGTCAATTTCTGCATGATTATCGCTAGGTAGTGCGACTCAGTTTTGATGTATCTCGGTGCGTCGTTCGGTTTTCGGTACGGCTCGTAGCGGCCACTTACGAGGTTGAAGGTAATGTCAAGGAACTTGACCGTCCTCTGGTTTGTTCTGATTGTGATTCTCAACCTCGAGTCTCTGAACAGCTTCATGATAGTTTTGCGGATGGAGTCTGCCTTGTGCCCCATCATGTACTTTAATACTGCGAAGCCATCATCGCGGTACAGGCCTATGCTGCCGGCGCCGAACATATCGGCAAGACACTTCAGCAGGAACGCTCCTACCAGTTGGCACACTTCCGTGCCATCAAAGCTCCACATCATAACGTCAAGTAAATCTTCTCTGTTCTTCTTGGCCCATACCTTGTGAATAATAAGGATTTTCTGGCATGCATTATCCTATCGACCTCACGCTGCGGAATGGCTTCCCAGCCGTACTCACATTCGACAATGGCGGCCGGGCTAAGAAGAGCCAAGAGAGGAAGAGAAACATAATCTGGTACAACCCGCCATTCAGCAAATCCGTGTCTACCAGTATCGGCCAGAGGTCCCTGAAACTAGTCCGAAAGCGCTTCCCGGCATCGTCACCTCTTAGTAAATTTTTTCAACAAAAACACGGTCGAGGTCAGCTACTCTCGTGCATGCCCAATATGGCCTGCGTAATCAAGGGACACAAACAGAAGGTGCTGGCCCAGGCTGACGTGCGGAAACCGGCAGAGAAATGCAACTGCCGACCGTAACCCTCTTGCCCTTTGGAAGGCTGGTGTTTGCAGGAGAGGGTGGTCTACCAAGCGGCCGTCACGACACGGAGCTCAGGAGAGGAGAAGTGATACTTCGGGCTTTGCAAAACACTGTTCAAGACGCGATATGGCAACCACCTCACGACTATGAGGTACGAATAGTACTGCAAAAGCACACAGGTGTCGAAGCACTTGTGGGCACTGGAGGACCAGGATAAAGAGTACGACATTAGGTTGTCCATCGTCACCAGCGCAAAGACCTACAACATCACAAAAAGGTGTTGCCTTTGCTTAGCAGAAAGGGTCCAGATCATCTGCGCTGACTCAGCCACACCCCTCAACAAAAAATCAAAATAGGTATCAAAATTTCGACACCAGAATAAGTTCTACCTCTCGCGCTACGGCACTGGTGTGACTTAGTCACCTGCCTGCCACCACTAGGCCCAGGGCATGCCTGCTGTCACTGTAACTTGACTGTCACCTCTCCTTCTCTCCCTCCTTTTCACCTCCCATGTAAAAACTGACACCATCCGCACCATGTCTCACTAACTTAAAATGTCACACTAGTGCCGCGCTTTGCTACCTTTGCGCGCTTTGCTTTGCTACCTGCCTGGGTATAAATTTGGACCCTACTCAGGTTATCAGTTGTCTGAGGATTGCCTTGGCTTTGCTATGTGCATGAAATGCAGTGTTACAACAATGACCTAGCCGGTTGTCTCTGTTCTCTTCTGCCGTTGTGTTAATGCTCCATCCTTGTAGTGTTGAGCACTCTAGGTAATCCGGGAACTCTCGCTATTGTGAAATGTGAATATAAACCTAGATTAAAATAATACAGTCGAATCCACTTATAACTATCTCGCATTATAACAAATTTCGTGATGATAATTATAGTGAACCGTTGTTTGAACCCATACAAAATGGACCCTTTTTAGCAGACCCTTTTTAGCAAAATGGACCCTTTTTAGTAAACCAAGTGCGCTCATACAGTCATGGGCCACATGGCAGTCATGATTTGCTGTTTATGTAGTGCGAGTGCGTTTCTTGTATGACGAACTTCGGTTTCGCAGCCCCAATTCTCCTGCACCATGGTGTTCGTTATATCAGGAATCTACTGACACATTCGGTGTCAAATTTCGTTTAAAGGATCATCTGTATACTAGGCTAGTCAACATTTGCTGTAAAGTAAGGTTGAGTATTACAACCTCCAGGTGACACCAGGATGACTGTATTTTGTTCAGGTGTTGATGAAAGGTGGAATGCGCAAGAACGGGAGAGGATATTTCAGGAAGAGAGACTTGCTCGGCAAGATCAACTGCAGCACACGCGCGGACTTGCTGGAGTGTGGCCGCAGACACAGCATTCCGTGCCTGCTGAACCTGGGGGTCTGCGTGACCAGGATGACGATCGTCACGATGACGCACACACTGCTGCTGCATTTACCTACGAAAACCGCGAAGTTCCTTCTACACAGGGACAAAGACAAAGTGACACAAGCACTTCCAAGTCGAACGATGCATTACAAACTTGCGGCCAGTCTGGTTACAGGAGTCCTATTCATCTGGATGAAAAAGGTAGTGTGAACGAAATTAGCACTGTCATGCATGAAGATCATAAGACTCGTACAGCAGGAGAGAGGAGAATGATCCGTTTTACTTCGAAGAGAAAATTCTGAGTTTTGCAGTTTCACATGAGGACTCGTGTTACAAGCGTGAAACTCGGGATTTTGCAACGAAGTTTTCTCCTCTCTCCTTGTTGTGTGGCAAAACTCTACATTTATGCATTGTGTATTCTTCAAGCAGTGGAGCTTTTTGCTTATGAAAGTAACACAGTTCTATCCCAGAAATAACTCTTAACTGTTTTGTCAAGTGTTGTTTTACGTGGTAGCTATATGTTTACGATGAATACCAATGCCCCTGAAAGGGAAGAAACCAGGGCTTTGACCCAATGGAATATCAACCAGGCCCAGAATACAGTACCTTTCCCTCGTAGCCTCTTGTTTGGGTGCTTTGGTTCTAGCTCAACCCATGCATTGGTGATACTATCCAAGCAACACTCGATCAGTTGACCCGGTGGTGTTACATCCCTGTCTGTGATTTCATCCTTGGTGTCGGGTCAGTGCTATGAAAGTGACTGCTGCTTGTATTGCTGCTGTGCGGTCTGCTTGGTTCAGATAATGTTGACAACAATGCAGCAGCTGGTGGTACTTCTCCTCTAGCCAAGAGACACGAGCATTTGGAGCAAGCCGATGATAAGAAAACGGACTGCAGGGAGCCAGTGTCCTGGAATCCCGTGTCTAAAGTTACTGAAAAGGCCCAAGTGTCATATTCTGAAACGGCTTCATCTGGTACAGCACCACCAGTTGCAAGCAAGGTAGATGTCAGCCCCGGTACAGCTAGTGAAGGCACAGGTAAGTTCTTTTTTCATGTTCTTAGTTTGAGTTAGCAACATCTCCAAAATTGATATTGAAAAATATGCTACCTCCGACAAGCAAAACTTGGCGCTTTTTGTTTGTTTATTTTGCTCTCTCTCTCTCTCTGTCTGTCTGTCTCTCTGTCTGTCTCTTTATCTCTGTCTGTCTCTCTGTCTCTCTCTATCTGTCTCTCTCTACGTCTCTCTCTCTCTCTCTGTGTCTCTCTCTCTGTCTCTCTCTCTCTCTCTGTCTCTCTCTCTCTCTCTCTGTCTCTCTCTCTGTCTCTCTCTCCCTCTCTCTCTCCCTCTCTCTCTCTCTCTCTCTCTCTCGCTCGCTCGCGCGCGTGATGCGTCTAAGGAAAATCGCCAGGAATTTCTGCTGACAATTTTGGACTGTTTACGAGAATACCCAGCCGAAACCGTTGGAGTCCATGTGCGTGTAGAGGTGTTGAACAATTCTTATCACCGAATTCTGGAGAGTGACGGCGGAAATGACCACCCTCGACACCGTGGCTCGAGCATAGCACACAGAAGTGACATCGAGATTTGCAGAGCGATCACAGCAGAGGGTATTGCTGGAACTGAATCCGCTCTAGTCGCACCTTCGGCTGACGACAGCGACAATTCCTTTCCACAAGAAGCTGCAATCTGCAAATCAGAGGAGAGTAATTCAGAGCAACAGATCTCTCAAACATCCTTGTCGAGCAATAACACTGATAACAAGTGGTATTTTGGTGAGTCCATCTTTATTTTTGATTGTAAAGGGTGAGTTATTTTGAGTGATTTGAACTAAAAAAACGGGCCAAATTTCGCTTGTCGGAGGTAGTAGTTTGCATGTAGCACAAGTGAAACATATGGGCTGTACACATCTGGCTGCAGCAATAACTTAGCTAGAACATTCTAACAAGCGTTTCGGAGAAAGGCGTTTTAACAATGCGACAAATAGAACAATTGATATGGACATAATACCATGAAACAATGAATTGTATATTTCTAACCTACAATCATGAAGTGTAGCACTGTTTGAGCACATAAAATATTTGTTGGTCTCCTGTGATCACCATTCCAAGTAGGTTTACTGATTACCATCGAAGAAAGACGTTTGTTTGTGCATCATTTTTTATACATTTTTCAAAACCGCAATCAATAAGATGAGCTGAATCGACATGTGTTTACCGTGTTTATGCATAGTTCATATGCTGAAAGCACGTTATCATTATCGTAGTGTTGCCCTTAATTTAATTTTTCTTATAATAATAACTTTATTAGGATGACCCAAAGGCAAATCGCCTATCAAGGGGTTCACCGCGTTGAATGGCTGTGATATGACAAAGCAAAGAGGCAACCATTGTGCATGTGTGTGGGGGGGGGGGGGGGGGGAAGGGAGGGGGGGAGTTTCGAACTATGCACAGTGAAGGGATAATTGTATGTACATGTACATGACCAAGGATAGGGTGTACCGGACAAAGTTGCCATTTTTGGGAGCAACGGATTGGGAAGTACAACAGTATTGTGGTAATGAGTGCAAAATCATAAGAATTAGTTATAGAGGTTAAGGAAGAGGGATTCCCGCAGTATGAAAAGCGTATTGTTGCAAGTGTTTGCGAAAAGTTTGACGAAACAGAGGAAGAGACGTGAGTGATGTTATAGCGGGTGGGAGACGGTTCCACAGTATGCATATTTTATACAGGACGAGTTTAGAACTATGTCGGCCATGTGAACTTAGACCGCAAATTGTGTTCCATCGTTTGACACTGCACGAATAAAACACGTCGATTCAGCTCATCACGGTATAGACATGTCGATTCAGCTCATCTTATTAATTGCGGTTTTAAAATTGTTGTCTCCTCGCCGGTTGTTTAAATACATTTTTCATTTCATTATTCTTTCATGGTATTTATATATGTGTCGGCATCAATAATTGTTTTATTTATCGCATTTTGAAACGTTCTTATCATAAGTATTGACAGCAACTAACTTAGTAACGGGTGGGGGCTAGCTGAACAGATTCAAGGGAGAAGGGGCTCAAGGGACATTGGAAATTTTAAAAGATCCATTAACATTCTACTCCCCATGCTAGAGTATAGAGTAGATACACACGGGTGCAGAACGCGACACACCAAAAGACAAGAGAGTGAGTTTGGAAGAATGGAAATGTCGGGCAGAGTAGCTGGCCTCAATTAAGTGTGCGTAAACGAATTGTGTGGTCGGCCTACCGAGGGCAGGAGCTGTATATGACAAAGTGGGTTGGCCTGCGCTGAGCAAAAGCGGTTTGTGACCCATGCGAGGTGGTGGGTCGGCTTGCGTTGAGCAGGAGCGGTTTATGACCCATGCGAGGTTAATAGTAGTGTGCGAGAGGCCAGTTACAGAGGAGTGCCCGCATCCGTGTGTTTCAAAATATGTGGAGTGTAGTGTAAGAGTAAGAAATGGGATGAGGAGGGTGGGTCAGAATTTGAAAGCTGACTGCAGGCAAGGAAACTGGAAAGACAGCAAGCTCTGTTGTGCGCACAGGAAATCAGCGCATGTGCAGAGCGTGGGCATGTGATGTCTATGATACACAGCAGTATGTAGAGAGAGCAAGATCGTGCACACACGTAAGGAGGGTCATGCAACTCGTTATAAAGGCCAACAGCGAAGCAATGGTACGTAACTGTTAACAATGGTTAACTCCTACGTTAACCGAACATGTAAATTAAAAATGAAATTCAACATTTTCATTTCATGCAGAGTCAGTACATCCGTTATGCCGACTGCGAACTATACCATACCACCATCATTATAGTACATTAGAGCTTGCGGTAATGTAGGTTAACACATTGCACAAGCCACCACTTCACACGCGCTCCAGCGGCTTCCAAAGAGCCCGCAGATCCCACGCTATTCATTGATGCATGTCAAGTAACACGTACATGCACGCTGTGATGGCATGTAACATGCGTACGCCGGAACTCACCTGAACTCGCCAGCCAACCGGCAATATGCGGCTGCAGCACACATCGGAGCTTGAACCCGTAAGGGCCTTTTCACACTAGGTAAAAGAACATGAGTGCTCGCGACATCATGTACCAGGTTTGTTTGGGCTGCTTTTCACACTGCTTGACTTTGAGAACGTCATGAAACATTTTCAGGGGATTCCCCATGGTGACAGCCTACGTTACGTCACTGCCGACGGGAAAAGTTTGAAGTTACATCCGCACAAGAATTTCAAGAAATTTTGGATTCATGATCGCTCGATCGAGAAGGCGAAGGAGAAACAAAAAATCCCTTTTCACTTCTTTGTTGAAGAATGCCTCCTGTTCGTGATGATAGGCGGCGAAGAAGACTTTTGGCGTTGATCTCACGGACGAACAGGTGATGCAGGAACAGACAGCACCTGCGCTGAGCTCGATGAGCTAATGGGCCCATAGCTTGGTACGTCCGAAAACGCTTTGTGCCACAGCTTGAAGTTGCCCCACTTGGCACCTGCAGCTGCGAGATCTAAATTGCCTGGATTGCCACCACAACCAGCACCTACAGCTGCTCCGGTTTGGGTTGAAGCTGTGTACTTCTTGTAGAAATCTCTCGCCTTCGACTTGAGGTCGATTTTATTGCTGACAACCTTGAGCGAGAACTCATGCTCGTTCTTCTCCCCATATAGTTGCACAGCATACTTGTTGAGAGCCTGCACCACCTCCATCTCCCTCACTTTTCTTTTGATCATCTGACCGCCTTTCCTCCGCTGCTGCTCGCCCCACAGCTCGATCAATTTTTGTTCTAACTCATCGTTGAAGTGAACCAAAGGCATTGTTCAGGAGAGTTGAGGAAACGCTCGACCAACACGACGGCCACAACAAAAAACTCTTCACGAATGTGAAAACGGAAGAATGGCACTTTCTACAGGGGTCCTCGCTTGTCGTAAAAGGCACGTGCGCCATTTTCCACCCATTGTCGTGACGATTTTCATGAAAATGTCACTTATACGGCGTTTTTTACCTAGTGTGAAAAGGCCCTAACGCATACACCATACTTCGCGCTGGCCACATTGCAATTTCATACTTGCTTTGCTTGGGTCGTGAGAAGAACACCGGTTTGTTCCTTTCTCACCCACCCACCTCTTCCCATCTATGAATAATATTGATATCCTTGATTCAACACAGGTATCATAATTCACACAAGACAAAAATAAACAGGAGTGCTGGGCCAGCTATCTCCTCTCATCTGGCAATTATCACGGCCTTCGGCCATCACACTCATACTCCCACACTCCTGCCTCCTAACGGGCATTGCACTTCGTGCGTGGGCCGTCCACACTCCGTCCATTTCATGGACGCCCATCTCATGGGCTGCACTTTGTGCGTGAACATACATACACACTATCATACAGGCCGTCCACACTCCGCCCAGTTCATGGGTGCCCATTTCATGGGCTGCACCTCGTGCGTGGACTATCCTACATGATTATCACATGCCAGATTCGGTTGCCCAGCACTCCATGAATCCTCCATAATGTGTGCTCTCCACTGGTCTGCAATAGCGAGTGCATGCGTGTTAACCATGATTATTTTATTTTGAATTTGTTTCATCTTCAGATACTCCAGAAGCAGCAGAAGAGTACAAGGGGATTATATTGCTTACTTGTGATGTGACACAACACTCTGACAACCAATTCACTCAATTTCGGTACCAACTCAACACTTCTGACTTTCCAATGAATTTCGATCTGGATATTCTTCCCAAAGAAGACTTCACTACTGATCCATCTGATACGTTCATTAGTTCATTGCAGAAAGGTACTGTCAAGTGCTGCTGACACCTTTTTGATGACATTAATTGATTGATCAACAGATTGCTTTTCAGTCCCTCGGACCTATAAATAGTTGATGCATTGGGGATCCCGCGTACTAGTTTGTACGTGAAGTATGTGTGTACAGCGAGGGCTGCGTCCCACCAGCCTGTTTAGTTTCACAGGAAGCTTGAGTTTTGAAGTGTGAAGAACATGTTGAACAGTCAGTGCTGCTTGGGTGACAGCTAAACCATCCATGCAGCGCAGTGGCTAGAGCAGAACTGGCCTATGGCCAAGGTCCGTGGTCCCTGATTTGAGTACTGACTACTGGTGGTGACAGACAGTTCTTCCTTTTCTTCACATCGGATGCTTTCCTTTTTAGTCCTTCAGACTTGATATTGTTTTATCGTACTTGTATTACCCTTGTCATTGTCAATGTGCCAAAAAACATGTATAGTAGCAATGGCGCCAGCATTGGCTATGATCTTTGACTTGTAGCCACTTCAAGCCGATAAGAATTAGACGATGAGAATGTGTCGGCTTTTTTATTGTTCTATTTCTTCTTCATAACGAAATGACGGCAATTAACGGCCAGAGATCACTGCGTGAAAGTAAGGGACCAGCTATGAAAGGAACTGACAAGAGAGTACCTGACACAATCCATGTTCTGCGCATCAAACTCATCCGGCACCCAGCAAACAACTAAACTCAAAATCGACTAGTGCTGTCTTGTGCTTTCTTGCCTTTTCTGTGTTGATGTAGAATCTCAGCAGACGGATGCACTGATTCTTACGAGTACCGGCCGTGAGGAGGCTGACAACATGAAGGCTGCCCTGGTTGCGGCAATGGTTTCGTCCAAACTGTCACCCAATCAACACGTCCAGGTGTTTAAGCTGCCGCAGCAATGGGACACCGGCTTACTGGAGGAAGGTACGAGAGAGAGGTTTTGCAGAGTGAAAGTTCGCAATGATTTTTCACATTCCGGCTTGCAAAAATTATTTCGAACGTTCGCGTAAAATTTCTGTTTTGCAATATTTTCGCTCCCTGATCCAAGAAAGTACGTGTGCACTCGCGCTTGTTTGAGAAGTGATCTTCATCCGATTATTTGTTTGTTGCGAGTGGCGGCACTCTGAGACGAGAGCGCCTTGACTGCGTTGTCCACAGCCAGAGATTCGCAGACCAACGGGTTGGCTTGTGCCGTAATCCGGCGCATCAAAACCTGAAATAATTCCAAAAATCCATCATTGATGTATGTGACTCTGAGAAGACGAGCAGGCAGGAGATCGGAGACGGTTCCGTAGATGAAACAACACGGGCTGCCACATCTTGGGAAAGCTAGCACCCGCGGACCAAGCCAAGAGTAGAGATCAAGCGCCGTACTATGAGGATTGAGGGTGGCTCACCGTGCCCCATCGGTCCGCGATGCGCAAAAAAATACTGCAAAAGTTTGTTTCGCGTTTCCTGCAACTTTCGCGTTCAAAACTGCAAACGTTCGCTCTGCAAAACCTCTGTACTGTTTCTGGCAGTGACCTGAATACTTCTGTATTGTGAGCAGTGGTGACGCCACTCACTATAATTATTGGTAATGATGTCACCACTATGGCAGCATGATATGCAATGATGTCCATACTCCCTATATCTTGTGTGATAACTGACGCCATGTAGCAAAGGAATAGAAACAGTGATTGAAGGTACCGGTGTGTTTTGCATTTTTTTATTCTTTACACACTCACAACTAGCGGCTTGTGTTGATTTCCAGATGCTCTGATGCTACGGAAAAAAATTATTTTAAATGAAGTGATATCAGTCAATTGACAAACCAGTTCGCAGTGATTCATGTTTGTGAATGTGTGATGGTTGCGAAAATACTACGGCTGAATTTTAAAAATCTCCAGCAAAGGTTTCCCATTTTACACTAGGCTGCTTATGCAGTGGAGATTCGATTGTCACAATCCACACAAATCACCAAACTCATAGCCCATGTCACAGACTAACTCATACCCCATGTCACAGACTAACTCATAGCCCATGTCACAGACTAACTCATAGCCCATGTCACAGACTAACTCATAGCCCATGTCACAGACTAACTCATAGCCCATGTCACAGACTAACTCATAGCCCATGTCACAGACTAACTCATAGCCCATGTCACAGACTAACTCATAGCCCATGTCACAGACTGTCACAGAATGTCACAGACTAACTCATAGCCCATGTCACAGAATGTCACAGACTAACTCATAGCCCATGTCACAGACTGGTCACAAACTAACTCATAGCCCATGTCACAGACTGTCACAAACTAACTCATAGCCCATGTCACAGACTGTCACAAACTAACTCATAGCCCATGTCACAGACTGTCACAAACTAACTCATAGCCCATGTCACAGACTGTCACAAACTAACTCATAGCCCATGTCACAGACTGTCACAAACTAACTCATAGCCCATGTCACAGACTGTCACAAATTAACTCATAGCCCATGTCACAGACTGTCACAAACTAACTCATAGCCCATGTCACAGACTGTCACAAACTAACTCATAGCCCATGTCACAGACTGGTCACAAACTAACTCATAGCCCATGTCACAGACTGTCACAAATTAACTCATAGCCCATGTCACAGACTGTCACAGACTGTCACAGACTGCATACAGTAGCTAACTATGTACTGTTTTTAGGAAATTAGAGGCCACATGCCACGTACTGCTCTTTTCTCTCCGAAACTCAACACTTGCAAGCCAGATATGAAAGAAAGAAAAAGGTCCCTGGTTCGAGTCCCGGCGGTGTGACTGATGATTTTTTCTTTCTTTCATATCTGGCTTGCAAGTGTTGAGTTTCGGAGAGAAAAGAGCAGTACGTGGCATGTGGCCTCTAATTTCCTAAAAACTTTGAAATTCTCCGTGAAACTCGGATGTTGAGCCATAAATAAATGTAGAAAGGAAAAGGACATAAGGATACGAGTTAAGAGTCGAATGTCTCAGTACTCTTGTCAGTTGTGTGCCTAGTTATTGCACTTTCTGACTGTATATAGTATCCAGTTACAGTGATGGAGAGTTACTCTTAACTCGTATCCTTATGTCCTTTTCCTTTCTACGTTCTCCGTGAAGTCCAAATTTGAAATTGCAATTTTGTATTTGCTCGCAGTGGACATAGTTTGATGCGCTCCCCATGATATCAAGCGAATGGCCGAGGGCCCTCTTGATTGGTGTGAGTTGCCAGTATGATGCAAGCCAGATGTGGATTGATCGAAGAAGGATAGATTTACCATCACCGTGGATAAGAGTCATACTGTAGCTCGGTTGGTTAGAGCATTGCTCGCGAATAGCAAGGTCCCTGGTTCGAGTCCCGGTGGTGTGACTGATGATTTTTTCTTTCTTTCATATCTGGCTTGCAAGTGTTGAGTTTCGGAGAGAAAAGAGCAGTACGTGGCATGTGGCCTCTAATTTCCTAAAAACTGAAATTCTCCGTGAAGTCCAAATTTGAAATTGCAACTATGTACTGGACCTACTTTTGAAGTACCATCAAGTTGAGATGCAATTTTACCGTAGAGTCAACAACCTTTCCGGGAGGAACGCTGAGTCGGTATGGCAGCAATATCAACTTTTAGGCATGAAGAGTCCACAAAGGACGAAACAGTTTTGTATGCAGATTGAGTCAGTTTAGGCACACATGTATGTACAGGTCAGACCTCGCTATAACGTAATCTCTGGGGGATGGGAGTAATTATGTTATAGCGAGGTTTATGTTATAGTGAGTTGGGCACACCAATATGCAATATGTATGTCAAAATGACACTCTTCACTTACTGATTACAACTGTACTGTTTTACATACAAGTATGATGATGACTAGCAAAGATGTGTACATGTGTACAGGCTTGTCAGCAAAGGGGCGACAAGAGCCATTGTAGTGTGTGTACTTGTACATGTGAGTCGTGATGTGACAAGATTAGAGCCTATAGTATAAAAAGTAATGGGAGTAGTAAAATACCGGTATTTTACTACTCCCTGCTTCCGAGGTGGACGGCTCAGTCTCGAATTCGTCGCGAGAAGGCATGCATGCCGTGTACATAGTCATTTTTATACGAGTTTTTACGTTATGCTGAGGTCTCCGTTCGCCCGGGACCCAGCAAACAGTGCGTTATAGCGAACATTACGCTATAGCGGATTATGTTTTAGCGAGGAAATTTTGTACAGAAGTGATGCGGTTTCGGCAGGGACATTCACATTTGTACGTTATAGTGAGGTTTATGTTATAGCGGGGGTCGTTATAGCGAGGTCTGACCTGTATAAAGAGATATATTCAATCCATTGTGTTTTGCGCATGAGGTACAATGCATAACCGGTGCCTTTAAAGCGTGTATGATTTGATCAAGGGCACTACTTGTAATAGTAAGGCCACACGTTTTTATGTTTCTCGTCACCCGAAAATCTAAAATCGTATGCGAGAGGTGGAAAAATTAGAAAATGACTGAAAAATGAAAAAATTACTAAGTTATGCTAAAATCGACCTTTACACCATGTAAAATAGCATCCAAAGTTAGGGACCAGCACGTGCACATGTGCACACTGGCCTGGCCTGCGCGACACATGATGGGAGGTCGCTAGCGTTGTACGCGAGACTGACTCACCATGTACTGACTACCAGTGTGCGGATCTTTTTCAAGTTTCGGCCCACGCATGCCATGCATGCTGTGTATGCTACACAGTACAGTACACTGCATGCAGTTTTTGTTGCGCAATCGAGCTGTATGTGCACAGAAGCTCCTACCACGTACTAGTTGCTAACTAGTTAGTCAGTACACGGTAAATCAGTCTCGCGTACAACACTAGCGACCTCGCATCATGTGTCGCGCAGGCCAGGCCAGGGTGCACATGTGCATGTGCTGGTTTCCACATGCACAGTGCAGCACAGTTTTTTTTCTCCCAGACTCCTGAATCGTATGGGCGATTGGGCGCGGGTGACGAGAAACAAAGAAGTAAAAACGTGTGGCCGAATACCTTTTCTTCAGTTTTCCTTGATGGTGGACGGATATGGCCGTAAGGGCGCACCTGGCAAGGTGGCAGTAAATACATGCCTCCCCGAAAGCTCTCTCTAAGCTGAATAGTTACACTCTGGAACAGGACACTTCTTCTCACGACCGCTACCATCAGTTACGTGTGGCGATGCATAGCTTGTGGCTATATCAGATACCACTAGCCATGCATCGACTAGGCGCCATCCGCAAACTGATGGTGGTCACGGGTGGCGAGAAGTATAGGTCTGCGCCAGAGTGTAACTTTCCAGCTTAGAGAGCATGTGTGGGAAGGTGCGTAGGTGTGTATTCACCATCATATGAGTCAACCATTAGTACAGCTGCAGTGGAGTCTTCCATTTCATTCTCCCCTGATTTTCTGGGTATTTTGATTGTTATTCTTTGATTTGGCTTCTAGACTCTTCACACTGGGAAACTGTACTGAAGGACATCAGTGGAACTGTAGTTGTGAACATTGACTTGCTCAGAAATAAAGACATCAACATCCTGCAACTGAAAGCTGGCCTGCATTATTGTGGATTCACCATTTCATACTTTAAGCTGAAAGGGGACACAGCCCCAACTTCAGCAAAGAGGAGTGGAAGACGACGGCGTCTCGGAGGTTTGTCACCTTTCTGTTTCTTCTCACCTGTACTTTAGTGTTGAACCAAATGACTGTCATTCTAAACAGTTAAAAACTGTGTGAATGAGCAGGATTCGGGTGAGACCCAGTCGGACTCAGTTTTCCGCATCCGTGGGAACTCCACCACCATGTGAAATACCATATCATCAAACAATGAACTGAAACTTGTGAAGCTGGATGTGTGGTCCAACTGTACAATACAGGAAAACTTGGATGCTGTTAAACCGGAAATTTTCGGCGGTGTAATATTTTCGATATTTCCCAAAATAAACAGTTCGGTAGCACGAAAATTTCGGTAAACCAGTTTTCCAGATCCAAAAATGCACTTTGCACACTGTGTGGCAGGGCAATGTTGAATTTTAGGTCGCATTTTATTTTAGGTAAAAATTGCCTGTACCGACGAAGTTACCGAAAATAAATCTCCGCAGAAAGTTTACAGTACCTGTAAAACATCCCCTTGTCCGAGTGTGAGGTACCTCGTTGTCCCTAGCCAGGCATTGCTGGTCTTTATGTGGCGGTGAGTGGCTGGGAAGAACAGCGAAAAGCGTACAAAGCAATTATACTGTAGAAGCAGAAAAAATCGGTGGTGTAATATTTTCAGTATTCTCAAAAATCGATGGTTCGGTGGAGGGACAATTTCGGTTAAAGGGGAAGTATACCCTAAAATCAAATGTTCACCAGTTGTAGTCTTCGTGGTGCTGAGTCGAATGGTCTTGGTCCGAGGACGCTGAGACGCTCCCTTCCTCCTTTATTCTCAATCGAACTGGCGCACTTCCACCGAAACTGGGTGACTGCGCCCTACTAGATAGGGATTTGTATGGAAAAAGTCACTAAAAACGCCGTTTCGTTCTTATAAAAGCACGGATGACCGCGATTGGTCCATATGTTGTAGTCTTGTGGCCGCTGAGTCGACTGGTGTTGGTCCGAAAAGGCTGCGATGCAGCGTTCGGCCCTCATTCCCAATCGAACACGGTTGAGTGAGCGGTCACGTGCCAGCAGAGTACATTTTTCACATTAAGATTCAACTCAAAGGTTCAAAGTAGGGAGTCGTAAGAGGCTTTTACGACTCCCTGGTTCAAAGGTTCAACTCGAGTGACATAAACGGGCCCAAACAGGCTGTAAATGAGCACGTGACTGCTTACTCAACCGCTTTCGATTGGGAATAAGGGCCGAATGCTGCACCGCAGCCTTTTCGGACCAAAACCAGTCGACTCAGCGGCCAAAAGACTACAACATATGGACCAATCGCGGTCATCCGCGCTTTTATAAGAACGAAACGGCGTTTTTAGTGACTTTTTCCATACAAATCCCTATCTAGTAGGGCGCAGTCACCCAGTTTCGGTGGAAATGCGCGAGTTCGATTGGGAATAAAGGAGGAAGGGAGCGTCTCAGCTTCCTCGGACCAAGACCATTCGACTCAGCACCCCGAAGACTACAACTGGTGAACATTTGATTTTAGGGTATACTTCCCCTTTAACCCGTTTTCCAGGTAAGTGTACCGACATTTTGGGTGCGTTTTATTTTCGGTAAATATTTCGGCACCGAAGTTATCGAAAATAGAGCACCACCGAAAATGTCTGCTTTCACAGCAATATGATTTTGGCGCTAGATGAAGCAAAGAAAAAACTCGGTATGCCAGCACTAGCTTGTCATGTTTAAAATTAAATACCACCTAAGATCACACCCAGCTATCACTTTGCCTCTCCCTCCGAGTCTACACGGTTGTTGCATTCTGCTGACTCAAAGGCAGTATGCCTGTGGAAGTACTTTCTCAATCATGTAATTATTTTTCCGTCTTCTTCCTCCGGAAACAAAAAACTTTGTGACTCCGATCGACCTGCTTATTCTGATGAATTGAGTTTTGATTGGAATGGAGCGACGGTGACTCCGAGTGAGACTCAAACTCTTCAAATTTCTTTTGTATAATAGTGTACTTCAAAGCAGTATATCCACACATGGTTTTGAACTTTTTGATTCATGCCACGAATTTTCTTGAGCACCGGCAGTATCTCGTTAGAATTTAAATAAAAAGTCACAAGGTTTTCCTTTCCAGGGCTTGGGGACGTTCTTCTGACACCATGTTTATTTTACTCGTCCAATTTTCGTAATATGGGTATTGTAAGAAAGTGTTCGCTCCCCACATATTCCGCCGACTTGCAGGGCCGGAGGCTGCTTGCGCGGAGCAGTGCAGCCGAAGGGCCATCTTTAAGGGGGTCTGGGGGTCGTCCCCCATAAAAAGTTTGGAATTTAGACGGCAAATCCTGCACTCTGGGCGACTCCCTGTACAAAATCATACATCGAAACTTTTCTCCCCGGTTTTGGACGTTCCACGTGGACCGACTTCTTTTTATTTCTATTTTTTGGTACGGCCATGGCCGTACCGGCCGTACCAGTGGCGCCGGCCCTGACTTGACTTGACACTTGACTGACTCACGACTGCCATCCAGAGCAGACGAGAAGTCCATTGAACTGTCCACTCGGCAAACCTGCAAGAAAGCACCACTCCCTGCTCAATACACAGTGTTTCGGGGAATTCACCCCTCATCAGTTGAGCTTGAGTAGGCTGAGGAAGATTGTGCCTGAAGAGCACCATGTATATAGTGCTCTCCAGGCACAAACATCACCAGGGATACAAAATTACAGAGACGCTCCGTTTTCAGCGCGACCAACACCTCGTGAACACCAGATAGCAGCGTGAGTCAGTGTCGCTCTTGGACGGTGAGAACAAACGTCGCGCGGCGCGAACCCTTTCTTACAAATCATCGCTAAAGTCACAACCACTATGGGTATTGTAGTTTTAATAATTATTATCGTATTTTCCGGAGTATAAGCCGTACTTTAATCACCACTAATTCACCCAAAACGCGGTGCAGCCTATACTACGATGGTCAAATTAAGTTTAATTAACATAGGGTAGATGTAAGTATTTCATGGCAAAAAATCTGGGTGTGGCTTATACTCCAGTGCGGCCTATACTTCGGAAAATATGGTAAACACATGTGTGAGGGGGTTGGGTAGAAATCACATGTCCCCAAATGGACGAAGTGGAGCTTTCTCTTGGAAGCCTTGCCTATGCTTTTGCCACAGTGAACACGAAAAACGGGTGAAAACCCTTGAAAAGCCGTTCAGCGAGGCCCTATTCAATCCCTACTCCAGCAAAGAATAGTAATATGACCACTTGGCCACCAAGAAGCAAGGCTCCTTCAGGATTCGGCTGGGCCTTGCTCGCCTCACTTGGATTGTCACTATCAACAGACTCCTCTCAGCTGGCAGCTGATGTGCTGTAAAGACACTGGTTAAGACCTTCAGCACACAGCGCCGTAATAACTAATGACAACTATTTCAGCCTGCACACGTGGACCCAAAACTCTGCAGCCCTTTTTCTCGAAAATTTGAACATGGGGCAACATGTCATTTCTACCCGACCCGCTCTCATGTATATTCTTAGACTCGGATGTTGTGCCTATTAAAGGGGAAGTTAAGGCAAAAATCAAAATTTCACCAGTTGTAGTCTTCGGGGTGCTGAGTCGAATGGTCTTGGTCCGAGAAAGCTGAGACGCTCCCTTCCTACTTGAATCCCAATCAAACTCGCGCACTTCCACCGAAACTGGGTGACTGCGCCCTACTAGATGGGAATTTGTATGCAAAATGTCACTAAAAGCGCCATTTCGTTCTTATAAAAGCACGGATGACCGCGATTGGCCCATATGTTGTAGTCTTTTGGACGCTGAGTCGATTGGTTTTGGTCCGAAACGGCTGCGTTGCAGCGTTCCTCCTTTATTCCCAATCGAACATGGTTGAACAAGCGGTCACGTGCTCCTGGGTGCCCAAATCACCTGGTCACCACGCCAGCAGGCGACAACTTTCACACCAAGGTTCAACTCGAGTTCAACTCGAGTTACAGGACTGCACCCAAAAAAGGTCAAACAGGCTAGTAAGTTGTACCCTGCAGGCACGGTGACCAGGTGACTGGTGTACGCAGGAGCACGTGACCGCTTGCTCAACCATGTTCGATTGGGAATAAAGGAGGAACGCTGCATCGCAGCCTTTTCGGACCAAAACCAGTCGACTCAGCGTCCAAAAGACTACAACATATGGGCCAAACGCGGTCATCCATGCTTTTATAAGAATGAAATGGCGCTTTTAGTGACATTTTGCATACAAATCCCCATCTAGTAGGGCGCAGTCACCCAGTTTCGGTGGAAGTGCGCGAGTTCGATTGGGATTAAAGTTGGAAGGAAGCGTCTCAGCTTCCTCGGACCACGACCATTCGACTCAGCACCCCGAAGACTACAACTGGTGAAATTTTGATTTTTGCCTTAACTTCCCCTTTAAACATTTTAGGGAAGAAAGGACCGGCCGATACAAGTCGGCAATGGATTGTTACGTATCCACCGGTCCTTTCTCTTTAAATGATTGCCTGGCTAGAAATCAATTACAGTTGAGTAAAACCTGTCAGGGGGATTGCCTGATAAGACCGTTGCCTGTCCCAACGGATCACTAAACCTAGGACCGAGGGATGCTTTCTTTCTTTTCTTTTTTTACAAATGACCCTGAATGAGGAAACCGCCTGTACACAGCCACCCCATTTTGAAGGTCCTCGAGTGGTCGACTTGGCCAGGTGTCACTTTAGCTTCCATGGCAGTGTCTGCTCCAGAGCCTGGTCAGCCGGTCAGTGACCCGGTTGGGGCGTACTTGGATGCGCTTGGAAAAAGAACACACCGGGTCACTTGTGACCCGGTTGGGACTCAATCATGGAGTCCTAAGCAGGCGCGTGCTCGGCGATGGGCACGGGGGGCACGTGCACCCCCCCCCCCAAAATTTTCAATCTGGGTAATTGCAATTGTAATGTATGCAAATATGCTCTAAAATTCAAGAAAGGTTGCAAACAAATTGCAGAAAATTGCCGGGGGGGGCTCCCCTCGGCTCCCGTGCACCCCCCTAGTTGGGGGGCCGAGCACGCCCCTGCTAAGATTCCGGGGCCCT